GGGGGGGGAGTGGGCAGAAAGTCGGGTTCCCGGTCAGTGCCCTCTAGCGAGCGCTGGGGAGGGAACAATTGCACAGAAGCGCGCTCAGGCACGTGAGATGCACAAGAAAGCAGCCAGAGGGAAGAGCCACTTCCGAGCCTGCGTCCGCACTGTTCATGGAGCGCATTTCCTTCCCTTGGACAGACACCCTTACAGACCCTTCGGTCAACCCATCCAAGGTGAGGAAGCGCCATGGGAGCGATGCCGGGCCCCCACCCTCACAGAGTAATGTTCCCTCCACAAAAACCCTCCACAGGAGCTCTCCTGGTACAGGTGCACGCGCCATGCTTCTCCAGGTTCTAAGATACGCAGCATTCAAAAATCCACACCTGTCTCTTTATGCAGGTATTCCAATCACCCACGTGTAAACTTCAAATTATTTCATCTTAATAAAGTTTATTAAAAATATATATATATATTCTCTCCAATTCTGAATAAAAGGATAGAACCTCCCATAAGGTAGCAAAATCTTTATATAAAATATTAATTCAGTCTCCTTAAACAAGTCTAATGAATGGAAATAATTATTCTATATAAATTTCATATATTTTTCCTTTTTAAATCTTATTTTAAAAAAAGCTTTGCCTCAAAACCAGAACCACAGGACCTACCCCCACCCCCACCCCTGTCTGCGAGGGCGGCGGCTGTGCCGCTCATTCCAGCAGACCCCGTCGCGAGGACGACACTCCCTTCCCGCGTGTCCGTGGGCCACTTCCCATTTCCATGACATGATCGGCAGCTGTAGACCGAATGCTTGAACAACCCTATGCTGACCCTAGAGGGAATCAACAAAATGCCTTTCTTTATTGAGATATTAGGGATCGGTCAATACCCTACCACGTGTGTGTAGACACATAAAGAGAAGGCTGATAAAAACCACGTGGTTTCTCTCTCACTTGATTACCATTGCTGCACACCATAGTGTATTGACACATGTTTGTCTGGTCTGATGAGGATGTAGCAGGAATGGGCCTGCATCAACTATTCACTTTATAGCATTTTTAAAATTAAAAGAAAATGAAGTGCCTTTGAGGCTGCTTCTTCCCAATAACTAGTTGCTTCGACCTGGTACTGAAGTATTGCCATACAGAGTTGTGTTTGAGGATCACATTTCATATTTAAAATTTATCTACAGTATATCATCGTTTTCTTATATCTGAGACAATTTTTCAATTTTGAGTATGAAATGTAAAAAAGTCACAATTTTTTTAAAACCAGAAATAAAGACATATTTAGGATACCCAGTAAGTTCAAAACAAAGAAAACATTTCGTAGCACTAAGTCGCAGGCTAACACGGAGGTCTGTAAGGGGCTGGAAGAGTAATAGTTCTACATCAAAGATATATTAGTCTGAATACTATCCATTATTGTTTCTAGGACCAATACTTAAAAAAAGATAGTTATACAATCAAAATAGACTGACATGGATAGAACTATTCTGTGAAAAAATAGTGCACTATGTTTCTTCCACAAAGCAAATTTGCATCCTAATAGCGGTAAACTAGCACTTGGTTGATTTTTTGTTTCTTAAATACAGCTAAAGGGCTAAGACTTCGAAAAAGAAATTAAATTAAGGCATTCAAAAAGGGTAAAGTGGCCTATGATGAAGCATCGGGACACGGAGCACGAAGGTGAGACTCACTGCTACAACAGCTGCTTCAACTCTAGCATGCAGCTTCCGTCAGGCCCACACAGTCAATGATAGAAACCAACATTATGGCTTCACACAAGTGCGAGCTGCAACTGTAGTAACGAAATCTGATTCATATGTATAAAAAAATAAAGTGGGAAGTTTTACAAACCCCCTACAGAATGACAGTACTGTGAGTGTGTGTGTGTGTGTGTAAGCGTACACACACGCGCACATGCACACACACACACACAGTACAATGGTCACTTCTTAAAGACGCAGTCTTCATCACTGTAGTGGGATCACGCCCAGATTCTTCTGGTAAATGTGCTGGTGAAACTGCTCTGCCGAAGCTGAGAAGATGAGTTCTTGAAAGTCTGACTATTCTCAGTCCTTGTGTGCGATGTAGTGTGGGTGGCGCCAGGAGAGCTCCAGGAAGCCCGCGTGGACGGGCCGTAGACGGCGTCCTTGTTCGATCAACAACTCATTGCTTCAAAGGGGTCCAGAAATTGCTCCAAACTTTGTAATCTATGCCGCAGGACAAAGGGGGACACATATACTTATGTGTGTAGACATCAGTCTCTCCGGAAAACAGAGCTTTTGGATAAACTGTGGGCCGTCATCTCTCAGTCTTGTTTTAACTGGAAGAATACGATTACCTTGAGTAATGGCTGCATTCATAGAAGGCAGTTAGCTAGAGAGAGAACAAATACAGTTAGGACACGCAATGAGGTAATTTTAGAGATCGTTAAATTCTTTGAAGAGGCAATCTCTAATTACATTACTGAACTCTACTGTCATGGAACAATTACACTTCCAACACTACATAACATGCATGAGCACACTGCCTGGTCTGTCTCTCCCTGCTGAGGCCCATGCGATTTCTGCTTTCTCAACACAGCTGTGCACTGTGGCAGCACTAGACTTGGCACACACATTACAGATAAGTTTTAATATAATTAACTATTAGGTTAAATAATATGTCACAGAATAACAAATCTGAGTAAATGTTTGACTTGGGGTTCAAATAATGAGCTGTTTTACACAGCTGAAAGAACAGTGGGTTTGTATAGCAGGCTTCTGGCTAGGTTGTTTGACCCTGAGCCACATTTCCCTTATCTATGAAGTGGGAAGAAATACGTTCTCATAATAAATACATACAGAAGCACTCCGGTAAACAAGGTTATCAATAGACCCCAATTTTATAAGATTTTTTTTTCAACATGCTTCAGATAGACATTACTTCTTGTAAATTCATTATATGTAAAATGTGTAAATTCATGAAGCTCAACGTTCATTAAAATCTTAGCCCTTATTAACCAAACTATTTTACATCTCCTAAAAGCAAAAGAACTTTGTTATAACGTATCATTAGCATTCTTCAGTCAGGTTAACATTAAATTCTCCAAAAGCAAACAATTCACAAATCCCAACAAAAGCCAAATCAGAAATAGCTATTTCACAGCACTTAATAGACTTATACAGTGTTTATGGCAGCGGTTCTCAACCTGTGGGTCACAACCCCTTTTGGGGTCAAACAACCCTTTCACAGGGGACGTCCAATTCAGAACAGTAGCAAAATGACAGATATGAAGTAGCAATGAAAATAATTTTATGGTTGGGGGGTCACCACCACATGAGGAGCTGTATGAAAGGGTCCGGGCACCAGGAAGGTTGAGAACCACTGCTTTATGGTTTCAATCCTTGCAGGTTCCACAGAAACGGAGGGAGGGAGGGAGGGAGGGAGGGAGGGAGGGAGGGAGGGAAAAGCAGGAAGGCAGTTTCCATGCTATGTTCACAAACCAGCACAGGGGTAGGAGGCTGAACACATGGTCAGATTGACTTCTCTGGACAGAGCTTCTTTGGAATGAATGGCAAGTCTGAGAATTAGCCCTTTGTTATTTCTATAGGCTTCATCCCTAACCCAAAAAATCCCCCCAAACCTATAATCCCAAGTGGATTGAAAATTTGTAGCCAATCAAGAATCTGAACATAGCATTTTACTTTTAGCACAGGCTTTACAGTTAGAAACATTTCTTAAAACTCCTTTTAAAAGACAGTATTATTAAAAAAAAAAAAACACCAAAATTCCCAAACTAGCAAAAACTTATAAAAGCCCGGGTTCAAACCACATGCACTACTTGGAAACACCAAAACTTCTTCTTTTTTTTTCTTTCCATTTTTGAATTTACCCCTTTTGTTTCTTCAGAAATCAAAAACATCGTCATCATCATCATCACCATCATCAACATCATCAAATGACCAATCCCAGTCTTTAAACGCCAGATCAAGCAGTCTGCAACAGGAGGTTTGCAAATTTATACTCTAGCACTCTTTACAAACTGTAGTTAATGCTCGGGCCAAAATCTAACACTTCTACTGCTACCAAGCAGAGGAACATTTCCATGGGAGCCCCCAGGGGAAGCGCGCAGGATCCTACTATGTGGGGAGGAGAACAGCTGGGGATAAGAAGACCTACGACACCCACCGTGCTTGCTCCCCAGGTGAAGGCGCAGCCCTGCTGACGCCCAGCGTGGCGGGAGATCTGTGGGCATTCTCTTCACCACACACCCCGGATGAAGTCCGACCAGAAAAGGGGAGCCATGTAAACCTCGCGGGTATAGAGCAGAAGTACGCGTTTTCCTCCAGTCTGATCACCTGAATTGTAACTTGGAAAGCACAGCTTGTTCGTTGTTCACTGTCCACGTGTGACAAGGCACGCATCTGCCTGCCAATGCCCAACCTGTGATCACCACAGGTGATCCGTGGTTCATGAGCTTGTGCACATGAAATTCACTGGTGCTAGGACTACTTATAATGCATCTTCCCAGGCTCCATCCCAGGAGACTAGAATTGGACTAAAGTGAGTGTGGAAGTATTTGCTTTTTTTTTTTTAATCAAAGGGGAAAGTAATCTCAATGTCGTTGGTTGGCACCGACAGGACGGGGGACGGACAACTCACCTAATTTAAAGACAAACCACCTTTGCGCCGTAAAACGTGCTGGGTGCAGATCAGGGTCTGTAGACACGGACACTCTAACATCACCAGCGATTCACTGAGTAACCCTCCCCACAGCTTATCATGGCCAGTGAGAGCTGTGGGGCCAGGCTTGCCGCCATCTGACACACTCCCGCCTTTCACAGGTTGGACTGGGCTCGCTGCACAGGCTTAAATGTGAGCTGATTTCTAGATAAGGGTTCAGTTCTCCCGCTAGGGAGACTGAAAAGAACGGCATCAGAACCCCTTCTTCAGTGTCCAGGCCTCAATTTGGTTACATGCTGTGGGAAACCCATCATTTCATTTGTTGTGGGTTGAGTTATAGCCCCTAGGGATACATGTTGTAAATCCTAACTTCTATCTATGCTATAACCCCATTTATTAGCAGGTTGTCTTAGTTATGTTAATGAGGTAAGACTGGTCTCTTCTGAGATAGAAAAGAGATTAAACACAAGTTGGAAGCAGAGATGGGGTAGGATACTAAGATACAGGGAGATCTGATAGAGAGAGAGAGAGAGCGCGCGCACGAGCGAGCCTCCCCCTACAGCTGGCACTGTGAATTCAAACTTCCAGCCTAACCGTTGAGGGGGAAAAAATGTCTGCTGGGAGAGTCACCCCCTTGTGTGTTGTAGCAGCACTAGGTATCTAAGACCCATACCCTTGCAAAGCCTTTGCAATGTGTGCCTAATTCTGGTCATTCAACGGAAGAGACTATCACCTATGAGAACAATGTTCTTTAAAAAGTCATCTATATGAAACTAAATGGCCAACAATTACTTTAACATCAAGATGAAAAGAAGGGAAAGTAGATTAATGGAGACAGAACAACCAGAATAGAAATACTGAGAATGTTCATGAACAGTTCGTGCAAAATGTTGAGTGGGAACCTAACTGCTGTGTAAACCTTCTCCAAAGTCATAATATAGATCGAAATATAAAATACAATATATTCTCTTAAATTAGCAAGCTTTTATAAAACATTCTTCTGAACTCTGATTCATTTCTCTTCATTTTCACTGCCAGTACAATAGAATCCAGAGGTTGTTCTTCAAGCTCATTTTCCACGTTCCCCTCTAAGTATGCTATCTGCAGATGGCCCAGTGATCCTATGTGATGGAGGCCAGGGTGCCCAGGCCGTAATCTTCACAGAAGCAGACTGCCACACCTTCTTCCTTTCGGTTAGCAACCAAGCCCTTCACCCTGGACCCCCTGACCCGTCCTCTCCCCACATCCTTCCAATACGGGGCCATGACTGTCGTCAACACAACTGCTGCGCCGCCGCACACCCTCCATCAGGCCCCTGGTTTCCACGGGCTGATATTTGGAGAGAGGTCATTAGGCCTTTCTCCCCAGTCTGTCTCTGTTGGAGACTCTGCAGCTACACCTCCACAGGCCCCGCCAGCACACAGGTAGCACGTGTACAGGAAGGTATCCGGTGTCTCTGGCGCAGCCCTCTACCACTGCAAACGCAGGACTAACTCTTGACCACTGAGCGACTCTGCATAGGAACATTGTGCCAGGAGCTGACGGGTCCCCTATCACAGACCTAGAGAATACAGTGATCCTCTCATCTGGGAGGCCTCTGAATGCCCTCAGGCAGAGTTTGTCCGCCCTTCTCCATCCCCACTTACCACCCAACCCGGTGCTGCAAAGCCGCTGGGGACTCAAACGTGTGAACACAGCCAAAGAAGGCTGCATCCCTTTTGAGTCCAGCGGGCAGTACATGAAAGTGCCTGTTTCTTTACAATATTGAGTTTCTTAATGCTCACGAGATGGGCGAGTGAAATATGGTTCTCTAGTCTAATTTTCATTTGAATTGAATTTCTTTGTTTAATAAACAAGTTGGCCACTTTTTCATATCAAATAGCTATCTGAATTATAACATAGGCATCCTTCTTGTTAATTCTCATACTGTCAAAAAGATCTTTTAAAATGATTTACAAAACCTTTTATATATAAAGATATGAACCGACCTTTCACCATACGCATTGCAAACATGGCACTTTGAGACCCCCTAAGGCTTCAGCTCCATCGGCTGCTCTTTGGTGTTGTGCTTTCTGGCTCTGCCTTCCGCCCGGGATAGGTCCTGTCTTACCTCCAAATTGGTACGCGGGCACCTGTTTGCATTACTTCAGTTTTGCAATTATTGTTTTCAACACTCCAGGTTGGTATGTAACTATTATTTTCTAAAACAGGTAACCTATTAACTAAAATTTAGAAATGGAAAAGAACAGCAAACACACACAGTTTCTGCTAAAAACGTTCTAAGACTTCCTGGATCTAAGCAAATGGCTTGCCCTCTGGTACCCCACTAGAAGTGGGGGGAGGGCCGGGGAGGTAACAATCCGTGTGTGACTTTACATGACTGTTTTCAGGATGACAGAACGACAAAAAATTAGACACAAGTTTTTGTTCTAAACTTGTAGATTGAATTAAGACTTACAGCTTCTATCTTGTCTCCCAAATCACCCAAAATGAAATGCTTTGCACTATTAAATGGAATGTGTGCCCCCCAGCCCCTAAAAGGTACACATAGATTATGTAGCAACTTAAATAAGAGAATATACTATATATTAATATATATGAAAGCACTTTGGAAGCAGAAATATATTATAAAGCATTTAAGCACTAAGCATCTTCTAATACTAATAAAACTTTGTTAAATGTTTTTCTCAGGCATAAAAAATAAATAACCTTTAGTATTTGAGTTCTTCAGCTTGTCTACAATCTTATATCACTAACGTGGTATTACTTAGTTTTGTTAGCCATTACACAAAATATTCAAGACTCTCACTGTCGAAAAACCAATTCTGCCTTTGTTATTCTAAATGCTTTTCTTGAGTTTTCACTTTCATGAAAGTTTTATAAGAGATTTGTTGTTAAAATGCTAAGATCCAAATGATACACCAATGCATATCAGAATTCACATAAAGGTTCCTAAGTTAGGGAACAAAAAGAACACCTGAAGTTAGAGGGAACTACTTCTGTGAGTACATCCTTTCTCCTCTAGCTCAACACATCTTCGTGGTCACTTACAGAAGCAGCCGCGTCGTGGTTGGCAAATCAAAACTGGTTATTCAAACTCAAGATCATTTGAGTCACTGTGATGCAGTCAGCAAAATGTGCTCAACAGAAATCAGTCGGAAAGCATTAACTAGGCATGTGCAGATTGATACCTCTGACCTCACTACATATTCCTAGTTCCCATCTCCCCAATGAGAGATGTTGAACTTTAACTAGTAAACAGAATTTACATCTTAAAAGTCATTATATCTTGCTTCTTAAAACCAGACACATGCTTGTTTGAAACTTCCAGGCTGAATTAGACTTCAGATTTCTAGCTTGTCTCTCAGCTCACCAAAAATAAAATATTGAACGTCACCTCACTGAAAACAAGATTTTAATATTTAACCCTTAAAAGATATATGTGCAAAGTTAACCTGAACTACTAAATTTAGTCAAAGTATTTATAAAAACCCTACTCTACGGATTATAGACGGCACAAAAGACAGACCAATATGCATCACGTGTTTACACATAGCCACACCTGAGTCCATTTTGCAGTGTAACAGACTCACCTGGGCTTGTTTGGGACCAGCTGTCGGCTCGGCCGTCGGGCAGCCTGGCTCGGCGGGGCCTTCATGGAAGCCCTGGGGGACGACCGGGCGAAGGGGTCTGGGGCCGGAGGCTTTCTGGGGATCTTTTTCACCAACCGACTCACCCACTTCTGCTGCTCTTCTGTGGAACTGGCTAACAACAACAGGTTCTTCGCCGTTGAAATATCGTAATATACTGCCAAGATATAGTGGAGGGAATTAGTGTGTGCTGCACGACAGGCATGAACAGCGTCGGGCTGCTGGGCAGTGATGGCCGTACCTTTGCAGGGAGCGATCACCTCCTCCTTCTTGTCCATGTGGTCCTTGTGGCACTTCATGTGGCAGCGACGGCACTCCAGAGCAGGGGGCGGCTTAAACATGTGCCACAGAGGCTTCATGCAAGCCTCACAGTTGGTGGGGAAGTGATAGAGAGTAGGAATAAACTCATGTCCCTTGTGGCAAATATAATTTGATTTTTCACCCGCTGGTTCCACTGGAAACTCCGGTTCCTTCTTACTCTCGCCTTCGTTGGCATACAAAATCTGTGAAAGAACAGCGAGCTTTCTGAACACCAGTGTGTACCCCAATGCAGTAACCACTCTGACCTCGCAAATACACTCGACCGACTTAAGTTATTCCATGAAAATTCAAACCTAAGTAGACTCAGACTAATGGAGAGAGAGCCTGTGAGAAAAGTCGTGGCGATCACTGTGGGTCACATTTCAAAGACTCAATTCTCTTCAAACTGGTTCCTTGTGTTCAGAAGGTCAGCCAGGGGTAAATTTGTACTTGATGACTATTAGAAAAAACTTTAGGTGTGTGTGTGGGGGGGTGTAGTTCAAAATAATCTCCTGAGGAGATGTGGAGATTGCTTGAATTGGTATTCTTAAGAAGGTTAAAACTGGGCGATAACTGTCCACACAGCTCCCATGAAAAGATGTGCATCTGGTGGGTTCTGGGGGAAAGGAAAGAGGGAAGGAATAAGCACATGCTTTCACATCAACATGATGGGCATCCCAAGAGCACAAGTGTCCATTCTGCCCCGGCACAAGGGCTTTTTACACAGATGGAACACAGGATATAACGGATGGCTTGATTAATCTGAAATATGGAAGCAGTCAAGGGAAGGATTTGACTTCCCTTCGAATTGGAAGTCCAAGGCCGACGAGGTGTAGCATTTCACTTTCTCTCACCACCATGCAGTCGATGCTGACCCACAAGGACCCTCTGTGGCTCTGCAAGGCTGTAACTGGGGTACAAAGTCCAGCCTGTCTCCAAAGAACTGCTAGTGGTTTTGAACTGCCAGCCATGCAGACTGCAGCCTAACCCATAACCACTACACTACCAGGGCTCCCTAAATTTAACCTTAAAAGTGACTTAAAATTTCCCCCCTAACTTTCCAGAGAATTGGGCATAAAACAAAATCAGAGGAAAAGTTCTTATTTTAAGTCACACGAAACAAGACAGCAAAGGCGATGTAAACAAACGACCCGCCGTCTTCACAAGTATAACGAGGCAGCACTGTGCTCACAAGAATATGCTTGGAGGTCATGCGCACACAAAAGGACCGTCTTTAAAGGTGACTGAAAAAGCAGCGTGAAGGCCCCGAAGTAAAGACATTCGAGCTCGATTCTATGAGAACCTCTGAAGATGAAAAGAGAAAAGCAAACACAAAAGCTCTGTGTTTACCTGGAATATCCTCGGTATTTCTTTAGCATCTGCTCGATATACGTCTGTCTGTGTTACTGGTCGGACATGAAACAACTTGCTATAAAAGATTTTTAAGGAGTAAAGTATTAGTAGAGGATTAAATTACATTAGCTATCCTATATTTATTTCGGAAGTTTACTCTGACCCATTTCACAATTGCACAAAATCTCAGTATTTAATCATTCCTTGAGATTCTGAGAAATTCTCATTAAGAGAGTTTTCATTAGTTTCAAAAAAAACAATAAAGCCCCATGGAGTAGATGTTTTAGCTAGCCCTATGTCCCAGACTTCCCTCTGAATGAAGCCAAGAATCAGGAAATGTCGAGAGTGCACAGAAGCTATGCGACGAGTTCTCGTGCAGCGAGTAAGCTTCACTGCACTTGATAATGTCACGTTATTCCCTGGCCACACGTAACCAGACAAGAAAAATAATATTTTGTAAATATTCTAGTAAAAATACTTACTCTATATCTAAAACCATGTATGGATTAGACTGCTCTTTATCCTGTTCACTGTCATAAAAAAGGATCTTCTTACTGCTTACAATCACATACTATTAAAAAGAGGGAGGGCAGAAGTTAAACAATGATTAATGTGATTATATACCGTCTCTATTTTCTTTGAAAATAAATGATGTGCTAACAATCAAAACATTTTTAAATGCCTAGCTAATAAGTAAAGTACCCTAAGAAAAATCATCTTTGAAATAATACATCTACCTACATTGGGTAGTTAATATCTAAAGAATGATCGGTGAAGTCTAACATTTTATGGAATGAGTTAGCTTTGAAATCCTGTAACATTAGTAACCTTGTCAAAAATGAACATCACAGTATCAATCATCATAGTAAAAGAGGAAGAAGAATAAAGAAAGGAGTGGGTCTTTGTATAATCTAAACCATCTTAAAGAAGGGATGATTCACCCAGGGTGCAGTATAGCACTGACGAATGATACATCATTCTTCTAGCTCCTGAATGATTCCCCCACCCACTACCATGACCCAGCTCTATCTTAAAAATCAAGTTAGACCGGAGAACACACATTGGTACAGATGAGAGCTCTCAACACATGGAGTTCAGGACAGATAAACCCCTCAGGAACAGTAGTGGGAGTAAGGATACCAGGAGGGGAGGGGGATGGCCGGGAAGGGGAAGGGGGAGAAAGGGGAACCCATCACAACATTGGATATATAGGGGCTCCCCCACCCCCTGAAGGAAATGAATAACAGAAATGTGGGTGAAGGTAGACAACAGACAGTGTAAAATATGGAATAATAATAGCAAGATATAATTGATCAAGGAGTCACAAGGGTGGGAGAGGAGGGGGAAAAAGAGAATCTTATACCAAGGGCTCAAGTAGAAACTGTTTTTGAAATGATGATGGCAATGTATGTACAAATATGTTTGATACAATTGATGTATGGAATGTTGTAAGAGCGGTTAGAGTCCCCAATAAAATTATTATTTTTTTAATCTGAACCATCTTTCGTCCTGAAACAGCAAAAACACCAAGGTCAACAGGCTTATAGTATTTACAAAGGCAGGGAAAATCACCCCAAGTCAGGAAGTTTAGACAGGTTTTTCAGTGTACAGTTCTTGCTATGCATATTCTGGTACCGCACAAGTGAAGCGCTGGGGTTAAACCACGGGGGAGCAGGCCAGACTTAAAGAAATACCTTTTTAACCCATCCAAACTTCTTGGTGTTGTTTCGCACGGGCAAGGACAGCCACCCTTCTAACCTCGATTCTGTAAGCAAGCACAAGAAATGGAGACAAATATAACAGTTCTCCTTGGATAAGAGGAATTTAGTAAAATTAATATAAAAGTCACAAAACAAATATGTCCCCTCCAGCATCGCTGCACATCACCGGAGATACAAGAACAAGGCAGAATCATGTCGAGTAGTTATGAGACGCAAAAACACATTCAGGTCACATCACACGGGAGGCATATACTCTATCGTTTCATGAAGTCAAAAGTCCTGTTGATGAAATTCATGCACCTGCAAAGTCAGCAGACCAAACACTTCCCCCAAAGCAGCGACTAGCACACTGTTCACTGCGACATCTACACTGAGTTATTAATTCTTTCCTTTGGGAGAAGGAAAACTATAGATAGAGTGTATTGTCTCAGAAAAGTAAACATTTACATTAAATACGCAGGGGGGAAAAATCAAACTTTTATAATGAAATATCTTTTTTAAAGATCAAAGTAATGCATGAGTAGGAATAACAAAGACTTTTTAACTCCAAAATATGTAAATCATTAAAATTGGGCTTCAACAGCAGAAAAAGATTTAAGTCTTAGAATGTGTCTGACACTGATCAGTTAGTTATCTTTTAATGAAGTGCACACAATGAACATTTGGGGAAATTATTCAAAATCCACTTTGTACTCTCCTCCTGCGTTTCTGAGGAGGGGGACAGGAAGTGCTGCCAAGGGAGCGCTGGGCTGCTGGCTGGAAGGCCGGTGGCTGGAGCCCAGCAGCCACTGCGAGTGAGACGAAGGGGAGGACTGTTCTCTGGAAACCCTAGGGAACAATTCTAGTCCACCCTGTAACAGGTCACAGTGAGACAGACGGACTGGGTTTACTCGATGGGACCCGTGGGTTCAGTTTTCTGTGTTTGAACTATGCTAGATGCTTTTGCATAAATTCTTCAGAACAACCCTACAAATAGGAATTATAACTCTAATTTGGTTTAGGGAACTTGACTTAAAGATTGCATAATCACCCTCTCCGACTTCAGAGCATCTGCTCCCTCCCTCTCACATCAACCGAGCAAACTCTAGGACAGGTGATGGGCTGCCTGCGGCTATTCACAAAAAAGACTATCATCAAAACCGTCTGTGTGCTCAACGGTCAGTTTTTGATACTTCATCTTCCTATACCAATTCAAAGGACTAGACCAGATGACCTCTAATGATCTAAGATTGAACAATTCTATTGTGAAAATCTAAAACAACTTCCATGTAACCAATTACCTACTTATGTTCAATCTTGATTATTTTGAAATGCAAGTATTATATGAACTATATTCCTAAAAGTGACAACAAAGGTAAATAACACTAGTGATCTGGCTCTGAGTTTAACCAGTTTAACCAGACGAAATCTGACCTCGTATCCGACTGCTACGACACTGACTTTCTGTGAAGTGTACACCCAATTTCTTCACTTCTCACACCGCGTTAGTGGTCAACAGAACCCCCTCACGGTTTTCACTGCTTTCGTCACTTAAACGTGGCCATTGTCCTTTCGGGGGAATCGGTCAATGGTCCTGGGATCCCTCTTCGGGCCTGGCCCGGAGCTTAATATACTGGGAACTGTCTTTACGTTTCTAAAATAAGCTACCTGACCATGATAATAGTGATGCCATGAAAATACGTTAAGAACAAATTGCTCGTGCAGCAGTTAATTTCCCAGTGAGCATCAAGCAAGATGAATTAGTGACTATTAGTTAGTGTTACAGAGATGTGTCAGAGCAATGTGAAATTAGGGGATGGGGAAAAACCCAAGCTGAGAAGATCTTCCGGGAGTCACCTGTACCATTAGGCTCCGATGACAGCGGTAAGGCGGGCAAGGAGTCTTCTTCGGAGTCAGACTCCGAGTCAAGGCGCATGCGTGCCCTGGCAGGCTGCGAGGCCACACTGAGGGAAGTGGAGGCGCACTGGTAGGTGAAGGACACGGACTCCAGAGTGTGTGACTGGGTGATACGGGCTACAAGCCAACATGAAGGGAAGTGAGAATACAGAAGAAGTGATGAAAAATAAAGTGAACGCGTCAAAAGAGAGCTGTTATAAGATGTAATAGCTGACTTAGGAAGCCGGAGTGGTTCCCTACTACGCTTTTTCACTATTTGATTTTTTTTGTTGTTGAAACCAATAAATAAGTGTAAGTTGTTACTCTGAATACTCACTCTAAGGAATAGGTTTTCCCTTAAAGAGATGAAGGACAAGTACTTTTCTTCAAGGGCTGTCGGCACAGGACTCAAAACAATCAACAGATTTCCATGTAAGATAGAGACGTTTTACAACAACAAACAAGTCGGTACCTGGAAATCCATCGTCTGGCTCGGCATCCCCCGGCCCGCTGCCGATGCTGGAACTATCGAGCCCAATGTGCAGGGCCTGAAGCTGTGACCGCAGCTGCTCGATGTCACTGTCTTTACTGTCCAGGGTCATCTGCAGTTCTATACGAATCTGGCTCTCTTCGGCGATTTGCTACAAGAAATTAAATTTCATTAACTACACACGATAGATGCCACAACACTTTCCCCTCCGTTCAGTAAGAATAATGAGTATTTCTGTGACATGTTCCACACAGGCTTGAAAACAGTCTACTTCTCGGCGGTTAGCGGGTGCTTACGGCCTGCATCTCATTCAGCTCCTTCTGGTACTTGATCATCTGGTGGGTCAGCTTCTCGCGTTCGGACTTCAGCTCCATGTGCAGCTTCCGGTTCTCCTTCTCTTTCCTCCGCACGTCGGTGTCACTGCCACGCTTGACGGGCTCTTTCCGGTTCATGATCTCAGCCAACTTATTCACAGCCTTAAAAACATACATTTTTAAAGTGTTGCTTAAGAGGTACTTTTTTAAAAGGACGATAAAAGACACTGTGATAAAACACAGTGCTCACGGGTGTACAGCACAGTGAGCAAGTCAGGTCACAACACTGTATCTAGAAAAGGATGAAATCCACACGCTTTGTTACATCTATTCGACCACTACAAAAACAATGAACAAAATATGAATGGTTTTTCAAAAGCGCGCCAATACCAAGTTATACAACTACCAATAATTGCCGCTATGCACCGAACCAGAACTAAATAGAAACAAGACTCCCGACTTATTTCTATAATGCACCTCCTTTACTCCTCAGCCCCCTCCTTCAACCCACCTTGTTTTTTTCTTTTCTAAGACTGATCATTTAAAATGTTTTTAAGTTTCATGTGATGTCACTTCTTATCATTTGAACTTTTCCATTCCCAGAAAGACTTACCGGGCATCTCTTTACCCTGGAGGAAACACATTGAGCACTGGCTCCTGACAAGGGAGGAGACTAGCTGGGAGCCAAAGCATCCGGGCATACAGCCATCTGAGCTGCTGGAGGGCGGGCAAAAGCCTTTACAAACTGACCCTTTTTTCAGGCTGTTAAGTCAACGCCACTAGCTAGTTTCTTTTTTTATTAGTTTCTTAAGAGCAGGGAAGACATCATCAGCTTGTAATAAAAAATAAGAAGGGGCTATGATTCCAGGTTTTAGAAATTAAGAAAATGTTAATAAACACTGAATTGAGCTTGATTTAATCAAATCTAGGTTTTCCCCAATCAGTATTTCTCTGTTTGGGATTATTTGCAAATGTCTAAACTTAATCAATGACCACTGCTTGCAAACTGTAATGCTAGAAATAAAATAGAAAAGAAAGAAATCAGCAACCATTCAAAATCACACTTAAACTGGACTGCACATACTTGAGTCTTCAGTGTTCTCTCACTCAGCAGCTGCTTCTCAAACTGTGCTTTAATAGCCGCTGCACTTATTTCTTCATCTTTCAGCCTTGATAGCTCTAAAACATGGGAAAGCATTAAAATTATATTGAGACTATAGCAATGGATAAAATGTTAGGAATAGTAAAAGTAAACTGTACTCTATTAATACATACGCTCTTGAGCATCTTTCAGTTTGTTGTTCAATTCTTCTTTCTCATTTGCAAGATTGGCAACATCACTGGTTAGCGTCCTATTAGTTTCTTCAAGCTAAAGAAATTAAGGAAGAAAAATAATCACATCTTAGTTTATAAAAGTTAAGCTATGATTTAAAGCGATAACTGAAAATTAAAACACCCGACAATGTTAAAATGGTTTCTCTATGTGTATCCAGCTCTCTATACCCACTTCTCACTTAGTGACATGTTAGGTTCAAAGACCAGGTAATTGAGCAAAAACAGGCACACTACATGAAAATGGGGGATAAAGACATCAGATCACAAAGCTGAAGATGACATGCCGCCGACTAACTTCCAAACTACAATATTACATAACTTCCAAATTACTGAGACCCCAGGCCCAACTAGCTGACACACAACCACATGCATCACGGCCAGCGGCACTCTAGTCTTGCACCTCAGTGTCCGTAACAGGCACTAACGTACAAACTAGCGGGGCAGATTTGTTTTCACGGCTGTAAATTTAATTGCTTCAAAAGTCTCATTCAAACATGGAACTGAAAGGTAGTGGTCTTATTCTGCAAACGTCTTGAATCTCCTCATATTTACAGAAAGATATAGCCAATTCATCTGAACTGACCTATAACAGTGTCATTTCAGCGTCAGAAGCACTGAAGCTCCCAGGAGCAGTGTGCCTGTCTCTCTAGCACAGTGGTTCTCAACCCTCTTCATGCCGGCACCCTTTCAAACAGTTCCTCATGTGGTGGTGACCCGTATGTGGGCATGTCTGCATGTGGGAGGACCCGCCTGGAGACGGGCAGAGAAACAGTGCCTCGTTGCTAGGACCATCAGAAATAAGATCTTAGGCGACCCCTGTGAATGGGTCGTTTGACCCCAAAGGGGTCACAACCCCCAGGTTGAGAGCCGCTGCTCTAGCAGATTTAACAAAGTGAAATTCCTTTGGACTGTATTACATATTTAAAGTTTACTGGAATCACTATACTATTTCATATTTATTGTCATAGTAGATTATGCCGCCTTTCTTCTGGACATTCTTCAAGCTCCTGAAATTGTCTACTTTATTTTGCCATTGTGATGGGTATAAATGGATTTTCACAGTTATTTCATCTACTCTTTTTCCTGCAGATGGTGAAGTTAAAATAAGCATTAACTTCCTAAATATTTGGATTTCTCTTACAAGTTACCTTTCTTAGGGCCAATTTTTGTTTTGGATGAGCTTTGCTTTTATTGAGTTATAAGCTATTTATTTTTCAGATACAAATATATATTACACATATCTTGTCATTTAGTTATGCTGTCTTTTGTCATACTCAATTTCGATCTGTTTTTAACCGTGATTTTTTTTGGTATTTAGGTCCTTAAGATAGGAATATTACTTTAGTGTACAAGATGAAATAAGAATCTAATTTTATTTCCTTTGACCCCAAAATACAATCATGTGGCTCCTCATAGAATAATCTTAGAACTAGCGCATGCAGCCATCCCAGACCCAGGGCTATGCACCCCAAAGAACTGAGAGCAGGCAGAGACAGAAACCCACACCAGTGCATCTCTCCGCCCTCTTCACAAGAGCCACAGGTTCAAAGGCCAGATTGCCGAGCACATACCCCAAAGTTACTCAGCCATAAAGGGAAATGAAGTCTTAATTAATACATGGGTGAGTTAGTTAATTGTGCCAACCTGGCCGATAATCACATGTGGGGCTAACTGAAAGGCGGAGGGATAAATGGGTGGTGAGCCTCGCCTTTCTAGTTCTCGGGTCTCTTGTTTTGTGATGGTCGCACCAGGGTGCAGCTGCCTTAGCAGTTCCCTGCTTCAGCTTGCAAGATTGACTTCCTACAAGACATCCCCAAGGAGAAGCCGCATGGATCTATCCCGATGCAGCCCTGGGTGCTGGAGCAGCCGTGTGGAGACCCCTGCTAGTGCTGAGATGCTTGTTCGTTCACTGACTCAGCTTTCCTCCTGCAGTTGGCATCACTGCCTCTGTTTTGTGAGGTGGAGACTTTGTGGATTGTGTTGGGTTAATGTTGGACTTGTGGGCTTGGGCAGCATTGGGTTGGGATGTTTTCGTGATGCACACTTTCTTTACATAAAACTCTCTCTTATACATGAATCGCTGTGGATTTGTTTCTCCAAAGTACCTAGACTAATACAATGGGTGAGTCATGACAATTCCCTATTGCTGCTGTGACCCCAGTTTATTTGTGGCTACCTAAGGTGGGAGACGGGGCAAGTAGGAGTCTCTGCTTAGGGGGCACTTGGTTTCTGTAAATAATAAGAGAATGACTTGGAAACAGAATTGCGTAATATAAGATCACTGAATTGTACATGTAAAAATCACTGAATAGTCCAATATTTTCTTTTTCTTTAAAAAAAAAAAAGATTTCCCAATGTTTTATATTTCATACAGCTATCTTTTAATCACAATTAGAATATCTCATCATTTCAAAACCATTCATTAAATGTTTCTCCTTCCCTAGGGATTTGTACATTGTCATTTCTAACACAGGTGTCTATCAAATCAGTGTATGTACAGGAATTAATTTCTGGTTCCCCTATTCATTTCCAATAAACAGAACTGAGTTATCATTACTCTAGTACATACGAATTTAGTTTTATGGTTAAATATTTATATATCAAAATATGCTACATTTCCATGTAGTGGGCTATATATACACTGAGCGGCTAACCTCAGGCCACTGGTTCCACTCCACTAGCTCTCTGACAAGAGGAAAAAGAGGCTGTCTGTCCCTATTAAGATGAAAAGTCTCAGAAACCACACAGGTCTCCTTCCTACAGGCTTGTTGTACGTTGCAGTCAACTCCATGACATTATCTTGCCCCATTTTGCAAACTATTCTTTCACTATTTATCTACGGATCTGAAACAGCCTCGGTCTTTTCACTAAGACATGGCTTAACGGGTCTGTCTGTTCTGTAAGTAGTTCTTTTGGGAGCCATGCCGTCAATGGTTAGCTAGATTAGAACACCTGTCGCCAGCAACTGCAACTTTTCATCTAGATCATGAATATTCCCCTAACGTTTCTAAAACACATTTAGGATCCACAGTAAAACACCTCAAAAAGGTGGGCCCAGTATCAAGTGGAAACATCAGAGAAGAAATCTCAGAACCAAATGAGGACCCGTACTAGAGAGGGGCAGGACAAACCGAGGGAGACCCAGGAAAGCGAGTGCCCCCAAGGGCCAGCTCGCATCACACTCACTCTAGTCGTGCCACGGTAACCAAGGGAGTGCAAAGATGTGACTTACCGACGCAATGGTAGCATCTTTTTCTGTGAGCTCCTGTTTGTGTCGGGCCATCATCTCCTTGATCTCCAGCTCTTTCATGATTTTCTCCTTTTCCAAGTCAGAATACTGCTCTTCAGCAATCGAACGAGCCAGCTGTTCAGAGTCTGCTTTGGTCAAGGTGATCTCCAGCTGGGCAGCCAAAGAGTCCCTGCATTTCAGAGAGACACGCTTTCGTTTGCCACCTTCATGATGAAGCCAAGTAATTGTTCAGTCATTCCATCAGTCAAACTCTATTGTTCAAGGAGCAAACGGGATATACACACCACAGCTCTGAACAAAAGAAACAAGGTATTTGCCCTTACCGCTCATCCTGTAATTCTTGTTTCTTCTGCTGTAATTCTTTACCAAGTTTGGTCTTCTCTTCACATTCCTCTTTAAGTTCCCTAACCTGTGTTTTGTAGAGTGTCTAAGTGGTAACAAGGAAGAGAAATGTACAGTAGTAATTATAATCATGAGAAATGTGACTCCTACATTCAAAACCGACCCAGATTCAATTCAACTTGGAATCGCAAATATTTCCTTACTGTTGTGCTCCTAAGCAAATTACTGTTTTAGTGAGTTCTTTTTTCACAACAACCACCTGAACAATAAAAGACTACATAACTTAAAACAGGGGTTTTCAATCAAAGGTCATAAAGAGGCTTCTGATTAAAACAAAGTGGCAGTGTTTATTTCATGTTCTAAAACCAATTTTCAAGTAAAAATGTTAAAATAATTTTAGAACGATTTTCTTTATTTGTGAACATATATTTTTCCTTAATAAGAGGCTCCGAACCTTCATTGGCTTCGTCAGGCCTGGCTATGTGCTTCAAATTCTTTTTCTAGCAATGCTTAACACGTGTCTGCTAAACTAGCACCACCCTTTTCCTTGGAGGCATTTTTGAGTTTTGAGGTAAAAAACATGTCACCCCAAACTCTGGCGTTGGCTAAGAATCTACCCAAGGCTGTACACCAACCAAACCAACCCACAGCCAGATACTCAGAGCGACCCTCGAGAGCAGCGGTTCTCAACCTTCCTACGGCCATGACCCTTTCACACAGTTCCTCATGCTGTGGTGACCCCCACCGACCATAACATTATTTTCGTTGATACTTCCTAACTGGAATTTTGCTACTGTTATGAATCGGCTGACCCCTGTGAAAGAGTCGCTCGCCCCCAAAAGGGGTTGGGACCCACAGGTTGAGAACCGCCGCTCTACAGGATCTCAGCGGCTGGAAGTCTTTACAAGAGCAGACAGCCTTGTCTTCCTCCTGAGGCGCGGCTGGTGGTTTTGACCCACTGATGTTGCAGTGAGCAGTCTAATACTTACCGAACTGTGCCACCAGTGTACAAGTAAGTCAGTACGGCTCAACACTACTTCCCTCTCCCAATTCATTTGTAATTAAATAACAAGGAATTGGGGGTTTGCAATTTACCTGGGGTTTCTGATATGGAAAAGGAAAGGTTTGAAAATAAATTTTTTTGTGAGTTTAGGTAGTCTTTTGCATCAAGCACTTTAGAAAGCATCCAGAAAAGTGGGTGAAGGGAGATTCAGATGGTGTAAGACATGACAAAGTAATAATAATTTACAAATTATCAAGGCTTCATGAGGGAAGGGGGAGCGGGGAGGGAGGGGGGAAACGAGGAGCTGATACCAAGGGCTCAAGTACAAAGCAAATGCTTTGAGAATGATGATGGCAACATATGTACAAATGTGCTTGACACAATGGATGGATGGATGGACTGTGATAAGAGCTGCACGAGCCCCCAATAAAATGATTTTTTTTAAAAAAGAAAGCATCCGTATTCATGTAGTCATCTGTGGACCAGTTCAACACAACATGGCAGTATAGGGGGTTTTTTTGTTGTTTTTTTAAAAGCAAATAAGTTCTCTGGTTCTAGTCTGAAGATCCCATTTGTTAATGCTGATTGTTGGCCTAGAAATACGTTTTTTTTTCTTAATGCACCCTCACCCCAACCTTTCTCAAACTCTGATATATGAGACTAGCTACGAATAATTCTCCTGGTGTGTAGCAAGAATAAAAAATAACTGGGCAAATACAACCATCTTCCAGTCAATGGATCCAGAACTCACTGAGAAATACTGCTCGGCTTCAAGCTGGTCTTGGAGCTCCTTCATCTGCCCATCTGCATCCTGGCGTTCTCTGTGGGGAGTGAAGAAGGAGGTTTCAGGAAGTTACATGCCCAGCAAAGCCAGCACCTCTCAAAGGGTGGCCTCGGGAGGCCCCCAGGCCATCTCAGAGAATTCATGAGCTGAAAGGATTTTTACAGTAACACCAAAATACTACTTGAGCTTTTTTACTCTCTTCTCCAACTGGTGTATATGTGCTCTTCGCAGGTGACAAGCCAAGTGGTGATGCCATAAACAGTGAATGAAACGTTTGCGTAGATGTTCTGTTTGCTTGCTTCCTGTTTGTGTTTTGTACAATTTCCTGCATATGAAATTCAGGGTAGGTCTAGAGAGACAGTAGCTGGATTGATGATTACCTTGAAGTCTGGCAGGGAGGGTGGGGGTAAATGGGGCCAAACAACGAGCACAAGAAGAAAATGTTAGGAAACTGAGTGTGGTGACAGCTCCACACACAATAATATAATTGAATGATTAAAATGTATGACACGTCAAGTGTATGACAAAAAAAAACCTTTTTGGGGTCAGTTTTCATTTTTAACACAAATACCAAGAGATACAATGAAATTTCAAAAGTTCATGGTACAATTGGAATTAAAATATTTTTTAAAACTTCATTTCTCAACGTTAAAGCTCCGTTAAGGTGATGATGCTAGTCTAAGTGATATCTCCCCTAAGAACTAAGGCAACTGGGAATTTAACAATGTCAGTGCCATCACTTTTACATTACTTATTAAATTATTAGAGGGATTTTGTTTGTGTTTTCAGGAAACTAAAAAAAGCCAGACGCCAAATCTGGGCTGTAAGGTTGATGCCTAATAATTTCACATAAAATTCTTGCAAAACTGCCCTTGTTTGAGGGAAATGCACAGGGAGCGAAAGGCTCTCTGGTGAAATTCCAGGTGTTTTGCTGCGACAGTTTTGACTAACGTTCTTAAACACTCTCCTTATAAGCAGATGTTACTGTTTTATTCCTGCCACCAGAAGGCAACAAGCAAAATGTCTGAAGCATCCAAATTCTACTGTTGTAATGCCCTATGGTGCTTGACCACTTTGCTTTTTAAAACGTTTTACTGTGAATTGGGTGAAGGTTTACAGAGCAGTTTCCACTCAGCAATGCAAACACAGCTGACTTCATGCTACTGATTGCGATCCCCACAATATAGCATCATTTATCCTCGCATCCCGCCGTCTGTCCCAACCCGCTGAACTCTGTTCTTGGGTAAAACACTGCCTTTCTGATCTCAAATGGTTGATTATGTTAGGGTGTGCATACCTCTCCGGTGTTAACGTTCCCCCTTATAGACGTGTCTGTTGTCTGGCTGAAGTTGAACCGGTGGTGGGAGTTCTATTCCAGTCCTGAGGGACGACTAAGGGTTTTCCCTGCTCTCTAGCTTACCAGTAAGTTTGGATTTCTTCCTTCTATTAAGTTCATAGCTGGGGGCCATGTCGTTCTTCTGGTCTTAAAGAGTCCAGAAGACTGATGTTCACATGGTCCATTAGTCCACCGGACAAACGGTTCAGAGTTTACCAGTCTGTTTCTGCTTTGACGGAACCATTTTCACCTTTTGGCAGCTATTGCTTTAATTGTGCTTTTGTCTGCAGTGATACTAATAACGTCATGTTTCATCTTCTGTTATAATTCTTCCAGAAAGTGCTTTATATCTTTATCTTCCTTGCTTGGAATTTCTATAGAAAGCTCTGTTCTTGTCTGCAGCAGATCTAGGTGCAATCGCTTTGGCACTCATCAATCACGTTAATTCAACTTTAATTTTTGTAGTCAGTTATCTGAGCTGAACCAATTGAGATGCCTATGGTACTGACGAATGTTTCTACCGTCAAAAGCTCCCTCCCCTCAGGCTGATTCTGTGTCAGCATGAGCCTCCAGGCAGGCCTGAGTAGAACTGTGCCTCCGGGCCTGAGGCTTTCCATCTTCACGAGAGCGGAAAGTCTCATCTTTCTCCCACGCACAGTTGACGGGCTTAAACGGCTGACCTGACGGTTAGCAGTCCAACCACATCCCCAGGTTCACTGTCTCCTAGCAAATGATGCGGTTGGTGTGCCACTGTGAGTTTCATCTTACTCCTTCTTAAAATCAGTTGGCTGTTGGTAAACTGGTGTTATCTTTGGGCACTGTTCCCCAAAACTTCCATAAGGCATCAGTAATTTCACCGTAACGCTGATGTTTGTTTTCATTTGCTAGCAGACATCATGCTGCTTTGACAGGGGCAATTTTCAAAGTGACATCTTCCCCTTCCTTCTTGGTGCCTCAAACTAAATCCTGTCCAGACAGGCTATAATACATAGTACAAGTTTATTTTGGTATAAAATAATTTGCAAAGACATGCACAGGATTTCTACAGTACACATTTTCCATCAACTTCCCATCAACCTTGCATGGCAAATGGTTAAAAGCTCTGTGGAGTCCTTGATAATTTTTAAGAGCGTAAAGGGGTCCTGCGCCCCAAAAGTGCTATATTAAACCAACAATTCTGAAGTATACATTCCCATACATGCAGTATGACCAGCCATTTATGCCAACCAAGTAGGGGAACTAGAAGACTACTTGAAAGGCACTAATCTATGGGCAAGTGACGGACAGCCTGGGAAGGAGCATGCCTGAGCGACCGGAGTGCTGATGTCTATCTTATACACCTGGATGGTGACGGCACAGATTAATTCACTTTGTAAACATTGGACTCTGTACTTGTAGCGTACACACTTTATGTGCGTCAATAAAACACAAGTCAAACGGAGCATGCCTCACAAACCATGTAAAGAAGATGGGTTGAGGGGAGGGAGGGGGAAAATGAACAAATGACATTGAGGGCTAAAGTAGAGGGCAAATGTTTTGAGATTGATGAGGGCAACAGGTGTACATATGTGCTTGACTCAATGGATGGATGTATGGACTGTGATAAGAATTGTACGAGCCCTCAATAAAATAATTTTAAAAAAAAGAATAATGAGGTTAACAGATGTACAAATGTGCTTTATACAATTGATGTATGTATGGATTGTGATGAGTTGTATGAGCCCTCAATAAAATGATTAAAAAAAAAAGATGGGTTGAAATGCTAGATTCTAGGCTTAATGAGAATTATGGTTATCCCAAGTTAAAGCTAAGAGGAAAAAATGAAGTTGGACAACACAAGCTGTGTGACAAAAATCTACCAAAAAAATCCCAGCCTATACCTATTTGTACCGACGTACTGGCGTCGGGAAAGACAAGTAGCAAACTCTTAAAAACTGTTACCTCCCAGGTGAAGACATAGGTTTGAAGTGAAGAAAAGGAAAACTTGCCATTTGGATTCTTTTCCCAAACAGTTTAGAGCATATTCCATAAAATGATTAGCAATATGTACACGATGCTTGCTTTATCGTCAAACATCTCCAAGTTTCAGAAACTAAAGCCACAAACAGCCCACAGGCAATAATTCTGTGGAGAGTTGTGAGGAGCAGGCTGTGAAAAGCACAGACATTCTCTTCTCATCCACAGCTACCATCTTATGATCATGCCATCATCAAGCGGCCATATTCAAAACTAGTTGGAGAAGCACATGTAATTTTCTTGATGGACAAAAGTGGGACTCAACAATTTATTCAAATACAAAAGTGATCAAGAAAGTAAAATGGTCAATGAAAAACTTCATACCAACCAAAATCAAGACCATTTAAGACCCTTATCCACTACGTGGATAAATGTGCATATTAATAAGGTTTTGCGTCAACAAAGTAACTTACTTCCGAAGTTCAGCATTTTGTTTCTCCAAGCTCATTTTCATCTCCAGAAGGTGGTTGTTCTCTTGCTTCAACTGCTTTTCAGACATTTTCAGGGTGTTCACCTGCTGTGTTTGCATCTTCAGGTCATTCTGTGTAAGGCAGCGCTTCTGCGTTTCCTGTTCTATTCTCAACGTCAAGTTCCTAACCTGCAAAGTACAACTGTAGAGTTAGCACACACACTTTTACTCTTTCTCCTTACCAATAGAGCTGGCTGAAGCATGATCAAGTCAAAGGAAATTTTGCCCTAATGCAGTTTCAGTTTTGCTTTGCTTTCTCCTGAGAATATGATGGGTGTATCTTTAAAGTATGGTCCTTAACGTAAAAATAACATTACAACTAAGACTGATTCCGTAAGTGTATCGTCAAATTTTATAAAACTAATAGATTATGAAATACTATAAGAAAAAAAGTATAAAAGTATGAAACTATCACTAGACCTAGACAATACACCTGGTTCTTAATTCATTAAACACTTTACGACCGTTTGTGAGTAAATGTTTTACTTACATCCTCATTTAGCACATCTTTCTGTTTAAGGAGCTCGTTCACTCTCTGCTGTGACTGTTTGAGGTCACAATCGTATATAGAACATCTTTTCTCAGCCTCCAGCAACAGGTTCTCCACTTTCTGCTTTAACATCCTTTCCTCTAGGAGTTTCTTCTCCATTTCTGGTGCCAACAAAAATGAATTTGAACATCAACGGACAAACTAAACAAGCACAGCACACACCAGTGCTAACAAAAATTAACATTAAAATTGATGTTAGCATGGTGTTGGTAAAAATTATAGTAAATGCTACTGCCTTAAAATAGATGCATTTGAAATATCAGGAATTTTATGTTTGCAAATTAGGAGTTTCATTTGCAAGGTATGAAAAATCTATCACTGTAATAGTCGATCCACTCTAAGAGGCAAGATAGTTCTGCCCCTTTTTAATGTTTGTTTCTTAGAAGACTTATTTTCCTGCTATTCTGTGCTTCTCTCAATGTTGTTATTCTTTCTGAAGACATTCCGTAAGATTGTATGCCATTCGCTGTTCTTTTGTATTAAAGGGCTACCATGCAAGTGCTGGAGATCATGAAGGATAAAATGAAACTGCCTCTGCTTTGGGTCCCACCCTGACATTTACTAGTTACCTGACTTTGAGAAACTTGTCTAATCTCGCTGGCTTCTGGGTTTCCTGCTGTATGTTAAGTAAGAAGGTTATGAAGATTTTGAGTCAATATACATACAGCACTTACATGTTGCCTGGAATATGGCGAACTCCTGATTAAGTGCTCAAGACTTTAGGAAGTTTAATGATTTTTAAAAAGAAGAAAGAAATTTTTACAGGAGATTTTACAAGAGAGTGGGCAGAAGCAAAGCAGTATCAAAAAATTCATGAAATTCATCAAGTATTGCCCTGATTGGTGGGGTTATAGACAATGTTAACTTCCTTCTTAAACTGCCCTAAGTGGTTTGCAATACATTTTTAATTTGTTTTCATCAGAAAGGCTTTCATAAACTTTTCCAAAGCAAAAATGAGGAGCAGAAAAAGTGTATTCTTAATCAAGGGATTCTATTATTAATGGAACTTATTACAGTTAGAGGAATTTTTCTAAAATCTCTAATAATTCTATTCAAACCCAATTAGAATTCCTCTGTTCCTTCATAACTTACACTCAACATCTAATTATCATTTATTATAAAACTTATATTAAGTAAAAGCTATAAAGTTACATGAAGTAAAAATGTTATTACATTTTTTTCATATTTTTAATGCATGGTCTTCACAGTGTTATTTCAAATAATTTAAGTACTGGCTAGCATTTCTAAATACTTTACATATACAATTCACTTAGTTTTCACTACAGCCTCATAAATCTCCCTACAAATGTGCAATATGAAAAAAAAAATGTGCAATATGACCATTCCCCCTTTATAAGAAATAGGGCTCAGAAAGATTATGGAGCCAGACAAGGTCACGTGTGTAGCTGGAAACTATATTCTGAATCTGAGACGACAATGATGCAAAGAAGAAAAAATAAAGGCTTTACAGCTGAGTTTAAATACCATCTATCATACTTGGCTTTATACACTGTTATAGAAACTGTATTACTGCTCCAAGAAGTAGTTCTTTAAACGGCAATTGTCAACTACATAGGTTATTTCCTGAAATCATGAAAATAAGTCAAACCACAAGTGCTCCTTTAGCATGTGCACCAAGAATTTAAAAAGGCACAAGGGAAATTACTGGGGTGATGAAACTGTCCTATACTATCAATGTTTAAAACCTTTTCATTTTCTTACTCATAACTTATGCCTCAACAAGAGTCAAATCTAACTCTCTGTTCCAGGGGAAGACAAGGAAACGTCGTCAACTCCCTTCCTCTCTTCAATGAGACTGTTGTAAAGAGAGCATTCCTGTGATAGTTTATCATCTTCCATTAGAACCTTACGCTAAACCCAGTTTAACAAGAAAACTCCCATCTTAATTACATGCAGTCGTTAAAAGACACTTTTTTACTACGCTATTCAATAAACGTTATGTTTTAATATGTAATATTTTTCTTTTAAAACTTTATGAAAAAAATAAAATAAAATAAAAAACAAAAAAAACTTTATGAATCTTTCACAACTATAAAGTATTGATTTCCTTTAAAATGTCAAAATCCCTCATAATTATAAAACTCTGGCACAAAGAAATGATCCTAAGACATTTTCCAGAGACAGGTTGGGTCATGCACAACTTTTTTTTTTTTCCTTTTTCTTTTTTTTTTTTAACATTTTATTAGGGGCTCATACAACTGTTATCCCAATCCATACACACATCAATCGTGTAAAGCGCATTTGTACATCATTCGCAAAACATTTTCTCTCCACTTAAACCCCTGGCATTAGGTTCTCATTTTTCCCCTCCCTCCCCGCTCCCCCCTCCCTCAAGAGCCCTTGATAATTTATAAATTGGTATTTTGTCATATCTTGCCCTGTCCGACGTCTCCCTTCACCCACTTTTCAGTTGTCCGTCCCCCAGGGAGGAGGTCACATATAATCCCTTGTAATCGGTTCCCTCTTTCCTACCCACTCTCCCTTTACCCTCCCTGTTTCACCACTCACACCACTGGTCCTGTAGGGATCATCCGCCCTGGATTCCCTGTATTTTCAGTTCCTATCTGTACCAGTGTACATCCTCTGGTCTAGCCAGAATTGCAAGGTCAAATTCGAGTCATGGTAGTGGGAGCGGGGAGGAAACATTTAGGAACTAGAGGAAAGTTGTATTTCTCATCATTGTTACATCGCACCCTGACTGGCTCATCTCCTCCCCGAGACCCCTCTGCAAGGGGATCTCCAGTGGCCTACTAATGGGCTTTGGATCTCCACTCTGCACTCCCCCCATCATTCACGATGGTAAGATTTTTTGTTCTGATGATGCCTTATACCTGATCCCTTTGACACCTCGTGGTTGCATAGGCTGGTGTGCTTCTTCCACGTGGGCTTTGTTGCTTCTGAGCTTGATGGCCGCTTGATTACCTTCAAGCCTTTAAGACCCCAGACGCTATACTTTTTGATAGCTGGGCACCATCAGCTTTCTTCGCCACATTTGCTTATGCACCCTTTTGTCTTCAGTGATCCGTTCGACACCTCGTGGGTGTTGTTGTTCCATGTGGGCTTTGTTGCTTCTGAGCTAGATGGCCACTTGTTTACCTTCAAACTTTTAAGACCCCAGACGCTGTATCTTTTGATAGCCGGGCACCATCAGCTTTCTTCACCACATTTGCTTATTCACCCGCTTTGTCTTCAGCGGTTGTGTCGGGAAGATGAGCATCATAGAATGCTAATTTAATAGAAGAAAGTATTCTTGCGTTGAGGGAGTAGGGTCATGCACAACTTTAACCAAGTTCTCTTATCCCACACGCATTAGCAATGGATGGCTTTGACGAAATCTGTATCATGCCAGGACTGAAACTATTCAGTGAACTGATAGTAGAGTTAGGTCAGCTATTATTTTAAAATCTTCGTATGTCATGTGCAGGGCCCAAGAACTCTGCGTTCCAAGATGACAGAGGGTATCAATTCATGGAGAGAGGAAATCTCCGAAACAGGAGAAGGTGACGTCAAGAACAGCACAGTCGGTGTGACTGATACTAGGCTGTCCCTGAATTCACTTTTCCCAGTTGGTCGAATTTGTAATGAAATAATTGTGTGGAGCTTAGAAATAACTGCTGCTATAAAGAAAAAATATGTCTATGTATGTACGCGCGCGCAAACACACACGTAAAGCTTCCCTGGTTTTTGTGGTTGTTGAGAACCAAATGTTTTCAAACCCAGAGTTGAATAAACACAGTGATGAGTGAATGATGAGTGAAAGGGCTCTGGCATATCTCACTCAGAACACATACCTTTCATGGCTTCCGACTTCGCTTCTTCAATGGACTCGTAGATCTTATTTTTATCTGCTAGCCGGGCTTTTGTAGTCTTATGCTCCGCTTCTTCTTGTTCTAGGGTCTGCTGCATGACTTTCAGTTGGTACGTCATGTCTATTTCCATGTTGCTTTTTTCCTGTTAAAGAATTAATGTGGCAGCTATCAACAAAGAGTGTCTCACAATTTCAAAAACTTTTTAGAAGAGGCTTTAAAAAGAGATTAATAAGATTATGCAATACTTCCCTCCTTATCCAAACATCTTGTTGCCTACAGGGTCCCTGCTTCTACTTCTCATTTGTCACGACATGACACAACACCCACTCCCCACACATCCACTCTTCTGTTTGGGGATTTGTAATGAGATCTGACTCACTAAAATGACCAATAACATTCCCAATATCAAACTCAGCACATGTTTTCAGTATCTATCTTATTTGAGCTCAATGCCCTTGAAATTATTCCCTTGGCCTATGCGCTGCTCTTGTCATTTCTGACCCTTGTGAAGTTTCCCTCACTCACCCACCTTAAATGGGGGTGTTCTTCAGACATACTGTTTGCCTTCATCCTGTATCGTTACCCCTAACACTGTGAAGGTACTCTGCATGTACCCTCTGAGTCAGAGATATCCAGCTCCCTAGGATACCCTACCATCACTCTCCGTATCGGGAATTTGTTTTAAATTGAAAATCTTTGATACATAGAAGTCAGTGTATTTTCTGTATGAGAGGGATTCAGGAAGCTCATGAAACAATAGAATTAAGGGATAATGAATTTTTTTCCATGGGTTTTGCAAAGCCACCGAGTACATCCACAAACGAGCTCCCTGTTCTTTGCTTCCTGGGGTTTTTATAACAGATAACATCTAACTCATGCCAACATCTCTCTTGTGCAGAGGAGAACTGCTCCACAGGGTTTTCGAGAAAGAACTTCTGGAAGGAAATCTCCTACCAAGGCACCTTTGGGCAGGTTCGAGCTGCCAACCTTTTGATTAATAGTCCAGCACTTAACCAGTTGCACCATCCAGCTGCCAATCATAATATAGGTACAGCATTTTTTTTCCAAATAAAATCTCATATTTAAAAAATTAAAATAAATTTTCAAATTATACAATCTGCCAAGAAAGTCTAAAATCTGCTCTTCTCTAAAAGTTCACAGCTCTACACGTCTTCCCAGGGAGGTCCCTTCGTTTACATGGTTTCAGTCACTTGGGTACCAAAACCAAGAACCAACCTCACTGCCATCGAGTGGATACTTGGAGTGACCCTGGAGGACAGAACAGAACTGCCCCTGTGAGTTTCCAAGACTTTGATAGTAGTAGAAAGCCCGGTCTTTCCCCCACAGAGGGGCTGGTAGTTTCAAACTGATAACCTTGTGATTAGCAGCCACCAGACTGTCTACTCAAATATTTCTTCCATTGTGCTACTTGTTTAAAATCTTGCACACATCTGACTCTGGCTGTTTGATAAGAACATCAAACTTTTGAGGTCTAAAATTGATTCATCATTGTCCTTCCCAATTAAGCTATGCTTCATAACACTACGTATCTCCTCACAATCTAGGACTTATTCCCGAGTACTCCTCACATACCGTATCTACTGAATCACTAGGAGCGACAGGATGCGTGCCTAGTGCCCCTGGCCTCTAATCTGATCCGACTCATCTATTCTCCACGCAGCATGGAGTTGTTCATTTCAAATGTACCACCAATAAGAACATCAGTGACCAAAAAAAACAAAAACAAAAAACACACCATCAGTGACCAGGTCAATACTTAGAGAATATACTCTAAGTTTCTTAACACAGTAGTCACAAGCCAGTATGACCTTTAACCTCTGCCTGGCTCTATAGTCTCACGGCCGCCAGGTAATTCTTTACTCTTACATGAGGACCACAATGAGGTCCTGGAGCCAAATGCAGCTTGAACTTTTTTATAACTATTTTTATAACTAAAGTTTTATTGCAATCTAGTCATGTCATCCCTTCATGTATCGAACAGTTGCAAATAAGACCATATGGCCTATAGTCTAAAATATATACTATCTTGCCCTTAAAAAGACTAAAATTTGCTGACCCCTGTATACCATAAACAGTGAAGAGTTTGTATTTCAACAGATTACGTCTTTTTTAAAATGTTTTCTATCTTCTGCCCTTTGCTCGTGGGTCCTGCGCCATGCAGAATGTATCTCTAGTCTTGCTAACGTTCAGATTAGCAGTGTATCCCACACACCAAATACACTTTTGTCCATACCTTTATCATTCTGTTCACCACACTGCATTAGGAATACCCGTGATGTGCTTTTCACTTTAAAAATTACCCATTACATCCCAATAAAATGATTTAAAAAAATTTACCCGTTACACAGCAAGACTGCCGCATCGCGACATCTCTACGACAGACTGTATACTAAGTATTTAAATCAGTGAATGGAAATGACTATTAAATGCACAAACCCTGGAACTTATCCTTCGTTTATAGTATTTTTAAAGGGAAAATACCAAGTGCTTCTAAATGCTGAAAGTCTTCGTAACTTCTTATGATGCCACTTTTAAGACATAATCAAGTCAAAACGGGAGGTGCCCTTGGAACTGCAGGGAGGGTGCATTCTCAGCACACTCTGAGCGTCCCTTCTCGTCGACACAACCAGCTAGCATCCATCAGTTATGTGGAAATTATAGCTTTCCCTGTTACAGGAAAATGTTCCCAATCCGAAACGACTGTCACTTTGACACAAAAATAAAAAGTGTAATGTGGTTTACCTTTTCCAAGTCTGTGAGTCTCTCCTGCAGCTGCCTCTTCTCCATCTCTGCTTTTGCTAATAAAATTTTGCCATTCTTTAAGTCTTCTTCTAAGCCAGATATTCTACCTAAAAATCACATTAAGGAATAATAATTTTAAAAAAACAAAAACAAAAACCACCTAAAGGCATCTCCATTTGACTAGGAACAGCAAATCTGGAAGTCCCCTCAGACCTCCTGCTTGTCTAACTTCTGAGTGTGGCATGAGTGTGAGGCCACCGCGGTGTCTCTGGAGCGGACTCCCTGTGCTTCCTGCTCCCACTCAGCCTTTTCCTGTCTGACAAAGACCCCCTTTTCATCTCAAGTGGCTGATTGTTCTAAGATGTGCCTGTCTCCTGCTACTACTGCTAACCTTATAAATCTGTGGCCAACTGGACCACGTTGGTGAGTCCAGTTTCAGGCCGGAAGGTTGTCTAATGGCCATAGTCTTGGGGGTTCCACCAGACTATCAGATTAGTAAACCTAGTCTTTTTTAGGATTTTGTGCTTTGTTCACATTTCTCTCCTATTCTATCTATGACCCCTTAGTGCGATCCTTTTCAGAGCACTGAGCAATGGTACCCAGAGCAGTGGTACCCAGGCACCACTTCTGGTACAGTGAGGCAGGCTCATGGGGCCCATTCATCCTTTGGACTAACAGTTTCCTTATTTTTGCTCCAGACAAGGAGAGGCCAACAGCCGCACCTCAGATTGCCGCCCAGAAGCTTTTCAGACTCCGTCACTACTCACTAAAGCAGGACAGAACATTACCATTGTGACCTATGTTAGAGCCTATTGTCCTGGGCGTCCTAAGCCCCCAGAGCCAGCACCTCCTTCCTTTCTTTGGAGCTATTAAATATGAGGCGGAGTTTGAGAGTTGTTGGAACCGTGCTTTGCCGTCCTTTCAACGAGGACCCACAATGTACCACAGGGGTGTCTGATGCTTCAAGTACTTCAAACGCCATTTCAAAGTATTCCACCCATTAAATTCTATGTCAGTATTTCACCAATATTCTACCTTTACGTAACAGCATATTCGAATGAGTGCTAGTGCACAACCTAGTTATTTAAAGATATTCTAAAATATAAATCCCCAAGATTAATTCAAGTGCAATCTCTAATTTAATACCTTGTAAATCATTAATTATCTCTGATCCATGGGTTCGATCTCTCTTTTCAGATTCTAGGGCTGACTGAAGATTGATAAACTCCTTCTCAAGTTTTAATTTGGCGGTCTCCAACAGGCAGTTTTTATCCTGCAGATCTCGATTATTAGATTCCAACTGCTGAATCTGTTTGGAGCTTTCTGCCTGGGTTTTCCTCAAGCGGACAGCGGTGTCAGATTCTGTCCTCAGCAAAGCGTTTGTTTCATCCAGCTGTGGTTCCATGAAAAAAGCAAACACACACGCAGTTTAGATAATGCAAGCAAAGTCAGCTTACTACCTCCTTACAGCAATTAAAAATCAAAGAAACTTAAAGTAACTCTAATATTGCACACAAGGCTTCTATAACCTGGCAATTGAAAATACGATTAATGGGTGCTCATAAGTAAAATCCAGTACCCTTTCAATGAGCTGAGGTCAACCTACTTGTCTCTGCAGTTGATTCACTTTCTCTGTGGACATTTGGGAGTTTTGATTTCTTTTTTTCAACTCTTCAAGTTGATCTTTCAAGCTGTTAACTATAATTAAAAGTCTTTTAGTGGCAAGCTCCAACACACACACACACACACACACACACACACACACACTGATTTTTCTGGGGCAGCATTTAATATCTTATCACAAACCATCGTTTTCTAGATTTCGCTTCTTCTCCGCTGCGTGGTCGGCTTTCCGCTGGTGCTCTGCGTGTCTGTGCTGTAGAAGAGCCTTTTCTCTCTCCAGCTGTCTTAGTGACGACTCCCCATTTTTCCTTAAGGTGACCTGAAATAATACTTAAGGTTATAACAAAAAAAAGTATGCATAAAAATTAAACAAAAAAACGTGACTTGTCTTAAGCATGCAAGCCATTAAAAATAAAATGTTAAAACTACAACAGCATGTTCCTCAAATAAACACGACCATATTTTGTTTACTAATTCAAAATTTCTGTCATTTTCCATCATCACAGGCCACATCCTTATTTATTAAAAGTATAAGTCTAAATGTTATGAATAGCATTCTTTTTTAAAGGGCAACTTGAAGACTGTCATTATATTACAAAAGTTACAAAATACCCACAGATATTAAATTAACTTAAGTTTACAAATACATAACAAAATGGAGCCTCCTAGCACATGGTTATCTTACAATCTAATCTGACCCATTAGTGCTAAAAGATAGCTCAACTATAAACCAAGATACATGTGCTACCATGGGACTAACCGAACTCCACAGGTAAACTGGACAATAAAATGCATCGAAAGGCTTTGTTAACAAACTTGCTACTGCAGAAAGCACGGCTTTACCTCTTCTTCTAGCTCCTTTGTGATTTTCTCTAGGCGGTTATTAGCAGATCTGAAGAATTCAAGAAACAGTACATAAAATAACTCTAATTTATAACAAAAATAATGTAAAATAAATGCAGAATAACTTTGAAGCTCTCCCTTTTTAGTTATCAACTGTACAAATTTTCCAAAATCGTATCGTCATATTTAATGATTGTTACAACATACTTGTACTTCTGTTCCAGCTCTTCTTTGGCTTGAATCTCATTGCTAAGGTGTTCTTCTAACGTGTCTATCTTTTTCTGCATCTATCAGAAAACAAGAAACTATCGTTAGACATTTTGATTCCTTTCTAGTGGTATATCATTTGTTCTTTTTAAAATACCAGTCTCATCAGAAACAAACAAAGTAACCCCACTAACCGACGGCTATCACGTCAATTCTGACTCATGGCGAGCCTACAGGGTTCTCAGGGCTTTGTAAATCCTTACAGGAGCAGATACCTCCATTTCTCCCATGGAGCTGTTAGTGGGTTTGAACCACTGATGTAGCTGTGACCAGGTCAACACCCAGCCCCACTTGTCTAGACAGAGTGAGGAAAAAATACACGCTACTATCTCTTGTTTTCTATCTCATCATACATGGATATATGAACATGTGAATAAGATTTTTTCTGTAACACTGAGTTGCAAATGTTTTATAATTAAAGACAATCTCTGGTATCTTTCATGGTTTTTCTACATATTATTTACTTGAAATTACTTTCACTATTTGTGCTTATAAAATAAGCATTTTAAAATTCAGTATCAGAAGTAAATTTCTGAAATATTTGATTAAACATGCTCAAATTTATTTAACTCTTAAGAATAACTCTTCTTTTATGACAAAAGGGGATTCCGAGTCAGAACCAGGAACGTCCTGACAGAAACACATTGCTCTCTGGCGTCACACTTGGAAGAGAACTGAAATAGAAAACTCTTTGAATAAATTACAGCTAATGAATTATAAACATCTCTTTCATAATTTTGCCTAGCTACATAGGTATTAGAGGAACCCTGAGGTTATAGTAGCAATGTGTCGGGCTGATGGTGCTGATAAATGCAGGGTCGGCTTTTCAATCCCACCAGGTGCTCCACAGAGAAAAAGACGAGGCTTTCTAGTCCCTTAAAGAGTTAGTCTTAGAAACCTACCAGACATTGAGGTGGGGGGGTGGTAAACAAACGCAAAGTTACAGAAGCTATTAAATAATGTATTCTTGGGATATTATTATCTTTCTAAAGGATTTAAATTTTGTGGGTTTTTTTTTTCCATTTTCAAGCTCTGTGTTAGGTATAGTAATAAGCACTTTACAAGTATTGACTCACGAATCCTATGATGACGACAGCATTGTATCTACTAGACAGAGACTGAAGTCTAAAAACAGTGAATACTTTGGCCGAAACCACATAACTCGTGGGCCAAAGATCAATTTAATTCCTACCGAGTCAAATGGCAGTGTTCTTTCCACTATTCTTTCTAATGACTACATTCATCCTGGTTTTTAATTATTTCATGTATCTTAAGTAAACTTCTATTTTTCCATAATAAGGATATATGAAGAGGCTTCAAAAAGTTCATGGGGAAAAAAGTCACATAATCTTTTCATTCAATTTTTCCATGAGCTCTTTCATGCCCCTTTGTACAAGTACTTGTCAGGGCCTTTTGAGTTACTCCAATCACAGCAAACTGCTCCATGGTGCCTGGCCCGCAGCTGCCCATCGCAGAGGAGCCTGGAGCCCAGGCGGTCTCAACTGCTGGCTGTGGGGGCTGCCAATGCCTACTCTGCAGCAGCACCAGGGCTGCTGTTCACCCGCGCCCACTGCCAGTCCCACGGGGAGCAGAAAGCCTCACCCTCCCAGAGCAGCTGGTGACGCCCACCGCCGACCTAACGGTTAGCAGCCCAACGGCATCGACCCACCGAGTCACCAGGATTCAGCTAATGAGCTAGTCAAGTGGCTGGACAATGACACTTCATTTGTTTCAAATGATCATTTAGCTATAACATGCTAATCAGAAGCTCCTGCTAAGTTCTATGTCAGAGATAAAAACAAGAGAAATCTCTAATATATAAACAGGTCCATAGGAGTAATAATGAAAGGGATACTTGGTAGAAAAATGGACGGAACGTCTTTCTTGGATGGATGTACTCCAAATGCTAGATGGAATAGGACTATATTGAGCACTGACACAGTGTTTCAATGTATTTGAAAACATCAGCATACCTCTTGACTTTCCTAGTAAAAGAAAATAAAATGCTTATGTTTCATAAACTCTTAAAACATACATATATCACACTAAAATGAGCAAATCTACATTTTTAACTTTCTAAGTGTCAAAGGGAAAAACTTCATCTTTTATGAGTTTGTATGTAATTCAGCTTTACATGTAGTTAGAAACTATAGAAGAATCCCACAGTTTGAAGAATACATTATCCTTTATAAAGAATTTGTATTTCCTATCCTTGACCCTGTACAGCTTAATAAGCTGCACATTCTTGCTTAGCACCAACATTATCAAACTTTATTATAGTTCTTTTTCTTAAAAAAACTGTCCATGAAGCTAGTCTATCACTTCTGTCATTAAGCTCAAAGTCACATGTAAGTCAAAGCCATGTGTACATCACCTTTCAAGAGCTATTGTGTCTTGGAAAAGGCAGTGGTACCACAGATGAAAAATGTCAACACTATGCCAAACTGTACTGCACTGAGAAGGTCACCTAACAGCTAAGAAAGTGACAATGAAGGCTGTCTTCCACATGGATTTTACTAATGTGTTTGAACTTGTGATTAAAATAATTTCAAAAACAGTAAAAGTTTATACATACTTCATTTTTCCTTGATTGTATCAAATCATTTTCTCTACAAGATGGAGAGTCGCTTAATAACCTAGAAAAGAAAGGGGGAAATTCCTTTGAATTCCAGAGAATTCCTTTGCACTGGACCATTTCAATCAACTTTCTCAGTCTTTTTCAACTAAGTGCTCCTCGTAATTAAAGTTGCACCACAGAGATTTCTCTGTCTTTACATTCGAATGTATTTTGAATGCAGCAGTATTTTTCCAGTTAGATATAGAGCTATTGCAATCATCTAAAACGCTGTCTTTCTTCGTGCTGTCAGCTGATCGGCTCTTTAGTTCGCTACCACTGAACGCCCTGGGGTTTCCGTGGCTGCAGCGTACTTTTTCCCTCCGGCTTCTGGGAAGAGACACCGCCTCCTCCTGAAGGACAGCACCACCTCGTCTCTAAGCACGTTCACTTACTATCCGCTTCTCTCTCTCAACGGGATCTTCCTCACTGCTTACAAGACGTGCGGGTTTTTACTGATCTACAAGTTTTCATTTTGGTTAGCATTGTTAAAATTTTCCAAACATTACCAATTACTAGGATAACCAACTCATCCCCATTTTCCTGGAATTTTACCATTTTAGCACGTGTGTCCCATGTCCCAGGAAACCCCTCAGTCCTGGGCAAACTGCGATGTATGGTCACCTGAATCATTAAATACATGGATGTACCAAAAAAGCTTCTCAAATGCAACTTTCTCAAATGTCTTTAATGCTTCACCTCTTTTAGCAGCTGCCAGGGGCTCGCCACAGCCAAGCAAACACAATCAAAAGTCCCTAACATAACACCGCACAAAAACCGTGCTGCAGTCCTCCCTCTTCCCTGGGACTCCCGCTCCACACTGTTCTCATTTTACACGCGGTTCTTACTCGTTAGACCAATATTCATTCACTGACCACGAGCCCGGTCTTGTGTCCTGCGCCAGTTGCAGGCAGTACAGGCAAGACCATTAGTCTCATCGAGTCCTAGTCTCAATAGTGTATGTCCTTTGCAAATGCTTTCATTCTGAACTTTTGCTTCAACCACTTTTGCTCTCTACAGCTCTTCTCTAATTTCTCCCACATCTCCGCCCATCAAAACCCTTTCTAGTCTTGAGTCTCAGCTAAATGCCACCTCGTCCCTTTGGTCTTACCTGACTTCTCCCTATCGTTATCCAAGAAATGTAATGTTCATTTCTTTTGAACCATTAAGGAAATTTTAGTACGTTTATTACGGCAAATATCATTCTACTCTTCTTTTATCACTACATAATTCTCTTATATCCTTCATTAAATGACAAACTCTTTCAAAGGCAGCATTTTGGTCTTACTCTATAGCCTCCAAAGTGTGTAAAATATGCTTTGCATCCATTTAGTGAATTAATATCACACAACATTAAGAAATGATGGAATAAGATAAAAAAAATAACTCTTCTAATAATCTGTGGTAGTTACATAATTTCATGTCAACTTGGAGATATATAAAAGTATAAGGGTGGAGTTTAGTCTGTCAATCTGGTCCTATCGTGATGGTGACTCCTTGTGAGCGTGGCCTTCTGATACGGAGGGCCCTGTGAACAATACCCCCCCCCCCCTTGCACACACACACAAACCCCTCTCTCTGTCATCACCTTCCTGCTGGTGTGGTCACCGCCAATGGATCCACAGGACCTTGCACCCAACCACCTGTGATCTCCCTGCACTCTGCATCATGGCACGTGGCCACGTGAGTCTGAAGAGGGACTTATGGCCTAGTATCGGATTATGGACTTGATCTGGACTGGGCTGGGATGTTTGCTTGCTATACAACTAGTTCTTGATATAAAGCTCTTTCTTGCACATATATGAGCGTCACTGAATTTGTTTCTCTAATCAACCTGGTCTAACACATAGTCATTTTGAAAAAATTAAAAAACTTCAAATGAACACTTCATCTCCTATAATATAGAATCTAAAAATGAAGCATTTTTTCAAAGGTTACATTCTGAAAACAAAAATTTAAGAAATGAATCACATACAAATTTTCTCGATAGTAGGTGAATCCTACAAATGGCAGTTGATTTCCCACAAAAGCTTTAGGAATTGGAAATGTTTCCACATCTCCTTTATCATCTTCAAGGTCATCAAAATTGCTGCTGTCTATGTCACTGCTGAGTTCAGGGACTACAGGAGCGGCAGCTATTAAAATAAAAGAAATGAATTATTTCATTCATATCAGAATGTGAGCTATAAGCCATCCCTTTCATATCCTATTATACAGCAACTTTATATAAAACAATAGATTTGGGTTGGTATGTTTGCAATTACTTTATTATGATATAAAAATTAAGTCACACCACTTCTATCACACCAACTTCAAAGAATTAAAACTGTCAGAATGTTATTACTATATCAATTTTAAATACTGTACATGCAAATCAATTAAAGTTAGAAATATATAATATTCTTGGTGTTAAAACAAGCAACAATATACATATACATTATTTAGAACCTTCAGTTGTATATATTAAATAGAAATAATTCTTTTACACTAAATGAGTCCATTTCAGATATACATAATGTACAAATGAATTACTATGGTTACCATAGCATTCATCAGATTATGGGCTTTATAAAGGTTGACTAATCAATTTAAATACATTCAAATTAGAGGACTGTATATCTATAATTCTGAAAATGATCAAGAGCCATAAAACAACTTGATAAAATGAGAAGTGGATCATGTCTATAACGGAAGCTGGAAATACTACTACACAAGCCTTGGTGTCATGGAGGTTACGTGTTGGGCTGCTAACTGCAAGGTCAACAGTTTGAAACCAACAGCCACGGGACTGTCCACTCCCATGAACAGTGACAGTCTCGGAAACCCACAGGGGCAGTTCTACCCCATCCGATAGTCACTGTGAACCGGTATTGGCTCTATGACCGTGAGGTTGGTTTGGGAAACAATGCTAATATATTAGATAAGATTTAAGGAACTACTGATTATAGATATTGTCACAAATCAAATGTGAAATGAAATCTCCCAGTTTAAAAATAAGTTAGCACTGAATATACCAAACATTCATGCTAATTTAAAGCAGGAATCAATTTGTGAGACTTAAAAAGTGATGGAATGGAAATACTTAAGTTCACTGACTTACTTTCTCTGATGTTATCCCAATTCCACTGGTCATTCTTAAAGAAAGGGTGCTGTTTGATTTCCTCTACACCGTTTCTCCCAAGCCGTACCTCCCTGAACAAATGCAGTTAAAGATCATATTATTAAATGATTATGAATGTTATCTTAGCAGTTAAATCAAAATAAAGAGCACAAATGAATTTGGTATTTCTACAGCAAAATTTTTTGGTTAGTTATTTCATTAAGTTAAGCTATTTTATTTTCTAACTCATCCATGCCACGTGTTTAAGGTTCCGTTTTACTGATTTCTCTTTCTTCACCAGCTACCTGTCTTCTTTCAAGTTCGACTCCAATTTTACCTCATCTAGAAAGCTTTTCTGGTCATCCTTACTACTACTGCAATGACACTGTGTCCTGCTGAGTATCCAAAATGTGTCCTATTGACTACACTTTGGGGAGCTATTTTTGTCTCTCTTTGGTTTATCAATCCTAAAGCTTAACATCCTGTTACTTCTTTCGTCCTGACAGTGTCTGCTGCTGCCAAGAACCTTTGATAGAATAATTCCTATCACAAATATAGAAGAGAAAATTGTGGAGTAAGTGAACAGAGAAACCAAGGAATATAAACTGAATGGCTTTCTAGTTTCTCTTCTTGAGTTAGGTTTGGACAATTTTGTTCCTTATTTTGTTCATAAAAATACATAAAATTTCCAGATCAGAAAAAAAAAAAAATTTCCAGATCAGACTCACTCATACCTCAAATATAAAGCAGTTGTGAAGGAGGAATTCCCAAGTCTTTTCTTGAATTAAAATAGAATGTAACCAATGTTACTAAACAGTGTGTACAGAAATTGCTGAATGGGGACCTCAACTGCTAAATTTTCACCAAAACATAATGTTAGATTTTAAAATGATTATAACCTGTTGAGTACTGATAGGACAAAATATTCTCCCTCCACACGGTGACCATAGGAGTGTGCTGCAGCACTGCACACAGCAGCTTATGATTAACACATAAGCTACGTTTACCGCACACCCATTCCCTGATAGAGCTACATAATAATCACACGCGGACGTGTTGAGCATAATCCAAGACCATGCTTGGCAGTAAGAAAAGGCTAATCCAGACTTTAGGGTAATTTGAGTTGGTCCCATAGGTAAATAAAAGTTTATTCCTGCAAATTTACAAAGAAGACATTTTTCTACTAAGAAATTGAACACTTATTACCTATCCATTAAGAAGGCACAGATGAGATTCTTCGCATGTTTAGAAATTTCTGCATCTTCAGGGAAACATAGTGAGTTTTTATGATCCATGATTTTGCTATATGTTCCTACAAGCGAATCTGCATAAAATGGAGTATCCCCTAAAATTCCAAGAAGGAACAAAGCAAGTGTAAGAAAATGCTCACTAGACACTTTCACCTGAAATTTAAACTTGTTTAAACTTGTCTCAGTGATGAAAAATGAGTGGTCTAGAGACCAGGAGGTCGAGTCAAAACAGTACACACAAGGAAGTTACTCTAATTTTAACCACATACGGACCTAGAATCCATTATAATAAAGTAAGAGCAACACTAACCGGCGAACTTAAAACAGAAACAAGGCATTAAATAGTTCCAGAGAAAGATTTACTCAGTGCGCTCAGATAGGAATGAGATTTGAGCCCTATGAGCCTCTAACATTATTCTCTAGAGTTGTGTTGCAAAATACAGTAGCCCCAAGCTACGGGTAGCAACTTAAAGTAATTAAAAGGAAACAGACAGCCCAGCTCATTAATCACAGTGGCCACACAGAAAGTGCTCAGTATAGAGAGTGGGCACCATACTGGGCAGCACAGACATAGGTCAGTCCCGTCGTCCGAGACTGCACAGTGCTGATCTAAGTGCTAGCCCAACAGCATGATCTTCATGAGAAGAACATGGGCCCAGAGATGGCGAGGACTTGCTTAAGACGACACACAGCTTAGGGCAAACATCTGTTTCTCAATACTGCTGACTAATGGCCGTGACACAGAGGCACTGAAGTAGAGACAGAAAACGTGGATGGTAGCATCAACTACAAGTAATCTCAACACAAGCCAGGCTTTGACAAATCAGACAATGACTCTGAACTTCAACAGGAGTATTCAGGTAGTTTAGAAGGGAAAGGGGAACCTTGAATCTAAGACTTTCCGTGCACCATCCTGAACTGCTGGAGAGCCCTTTAATTTAAACGAAATTCAGTGCCAACCAGGCAAGCTCAGAAGACTGCAACTTACTGCCATTCACAGTCATTAAACTTGGTTCTCAGAGTTGAAAATAGTAGCAAGAATGTAAATGAGCCAAATTACTTCCTCCAAAGTGCATTACTTTCTAAATCCCTAAAAGTAGAATTTAGGGGCAAATGAAAGACAATATTCTATTTCCAAAGATTACTAAAGCATCATCAGAGCAGGCTAGAAGTGAGGGACACATTAAGAGACTCATGAAATGTCCCAAAAAAGAGCACGAGGCTGTGCACAACCAGGTCTATAGACACACAATGGTCACTGGCATTTTATGCCACTAAAAAGTTAAATTTGGGGTGTGACTTTTTTTGGTTTGTTTTAATCATGAACATATTCCATAGCAAAAAACCAGGAAGAGCCTCAATGAGATGGATTGACAAGAGGCCCCAACAATGGATTGCAACCTAACAACAAGTGGGAGGCCGGTGCACGACCGGCCGGAGCGTCGCTCTGCCATGCACAGGGTTGTGATGAGCCGGAATCCACGTACTGGCACCCAACAATAGTTATCAACAGCTTTTCTACCCCCAAGTTCTTCTAGGGTCATCCAGAAGGCACATTTTCCAAGTTTAAAAAATGTATTTTCAACTAATGGTATCCATACAAAATTATTGGCCTCAATATTCTCAAACTCTTGGCTTAGGATTAAAATGTGAGGACAAAGTTTTGTCAACATCAAGTTAGAGTATATACTTACCCACCAGCATCTCAAAAAGGAAAACCCCTACAGACCACCAATCACATTCTCGCCCGTAGTAGCCATCACCCCCTTGAGACTTGAGCACCTCGGGTGATATGTAATCCGGTGTTCCGACTGCTGTGTCACAGTGCACCATGCCGGTCTGCGCAAACAGAAGCGACACGGAAAAGGGGGAGGATAAATATGCACACGCAGACCCACTTCATTTACGACCAGATATTCAGTCTGACTACACACTGACAGCACAAGCACTTCGTTGCTAACATGACTTTGGGGGACAGGGTGCACACACTCTCACATAAAAACAACATTTGTGGGAGACTCGGGGTCCATTTCCAACTGTCAAGAGACGAGCCAGTGAAAGCCTGGGGAGCACCTCTACCCTATGGTACTCAAGCTACGCTTCGTCTGGACTCAGCGGTGGCCAGAGAATCTACCTTCAACGGCTTTTTGACAAGTATGAGAACCATTATCATGGGGGGACAGGGGAGGGGACGGGACTGTAAAATCACACCTCTTTAATAGTAGTCTTTCACCTCCAGCTGTGTACAGACTTGTAAAGATTTTGTAGATTAATTCAAATACCCTTGATTCTCCTTACTTGTCCAGCAAAGAAAGTAGGATTCACATTTTATGGAAACTAGCAAAATAGTATCTACAGTCATTATTCTAATCACTTTGGAAAACTAATTTCAATAGATTTTATAAACATGTTGTGTCTTTCCCTAAATGCTTGAAAATTTAGGTGAAATATGGGCTATTAATTTCAAAATATAATCTTTTCATTCTTAAAACTAGCAAACAATGATTCATTGGTTTTGTTTTTCCAAGTGTACAGCAAATAGACTCGATGTTTTTCCTTAAATAATTTAGCAAATAAATTATATGAAAATAATTAAGAAAAATGTATACCAAGGTAAAAAGAGTTTCCAGTCTACTAGAAAACTACTTAAAACTTAACTTTTTACTTAATGACTTAAAACTTTCACTTACATAAACCTGGTCAATGTTAATTTTCAGACTAAAATATGCTAGATACCACAAGAGGGTGCTATGGACACAATCAAACACTCCCCCTGCTAAACACTGATGTAAGGATGAAGTACCGGGTACCAGTCACATAGAGATGAAAGAAAGGAGCAAGTTGCGAAGCTGTAGCTAGGTTGACAGGGCATGTGAATCCAAGAGAGCCAAAAATGGATCCTTAAAGCACAGCACACATTTTGCACCAGCGTTAGGGCAGTATCACATTATAATAGTAAGCAGTCAGTAAGGATTATCAGAGAGAACTTTCTAAATGAGGTAAAATCTGAGCTAAGTGACGGATTGCTAATGAACGTAAGGAAATCAGTAAAAGTGAGTGGTACACACATTACAAGAATAAACTAAAAGAAAATGAGTACCTAAAAAATAAAGATTTTGACTAGATAACAAACAAAAAATAAACTAGAAATATACTGAAAGGTTATGAGAAGCGTCCTTGTGATCCAATTTGCTTGTTTTCAGTATACATTAACTTTGAAGATAGAACGTATGCAAATCACTTCCTAGATTCACCAGAGGAATATAAATAGCATAAATCATAATTACTCACTATCTGGAATTACAGTCTTAAATAAAAAATGAGAGATAAACATTTCGCAACAAAAATAAATCAACAACATTCTTAACTATAAAATTTTTAAAAATACTATTAAATATAAGGGGCTTCAAAAAGTTTGCAGAAATTAAAATTAAATAATGGCATATATTTATAAATTTATTTGAGCGCCCTCATTTAACTATCCAACAAATAATGTGCCACAGTAGGCAATGTCCCCCAAATTCTACGGGGTTGGTGCAAATGGAGAGGTGATGATACAGATTTTTTTACGTTCTGGTTTTAAAGAAAAAAATGTGTGGAAATACCCCACTTCCTTAATTTACCTTTTGTATCCTAAATCATTATGGAGCCCTAGTGGTGTAGTGGTTATGCTCTGGGCTGCGATCCGCATGGATGGAAGTTCAAAAACCACCAGCAGCTCTGAGGGAGGGGCTTTCTACTCCCGTGAACAGTTAGTCTTGGACAACCACAAGGGGTCGCTATGAGTCAGCACAGACTCCATGGGAGTGAGTTTTCTATCCTGTATCATTAGACCCATGAATACTTTCGATGGGTAGCAAATGCTTGTCAATATTCAATGAAGGAAAAAAATCAACTTACACTATTCCCCTTCTTATTTCTTATGGAACCCCAAATCTACTAATGTGCACGAAAGCTGAATGATTAGTAAAGCGAATGTTTTAAACGGTGAGGGTTTTTAAAGGGTTTTTTTTTAGTTGTTTTGTTTTTATTGTTTTTAATCTTATTTGGGATATGACAACTTTGATATCCTTATTTAAGGTGTTCTTTGTTTTGCTTTTACTTTTTGTTTCTATTAAAACAACAACAAAAAACTAGTTTTATTTTTTAACTTGCTCACTTACTTCATCCATCTTCATACACGTGCCAAAATCTGCTAATTTTAGGTGTCCATGTTTATCCAAAAGCATGTTGTCTGGCTTCACATCTCTGTGTATTAAGCCCATGGAGTGTATTGCATCCAGAGCGAGGACTACTTCTGCAGTGTAAAACTTGGCCCACTTTTCGGGTACATCATAGTTACTCATAAGGTTGACAAGGTCTCCGCCAGGCATGTACTCCATTACCATGTACAGATACCTATCGTCTTGGAAGGCACAAAAGAGCTGCAAAACAAAAGGAAAAAGTTATAAAACAAAGACAACAATATACAAAATGGAACAAAAACCAAAGGTTATTATTGATACTGAAAATAAGAAATTTATTTCAAAACCTAAAAAGTTTAAATTCATTATTTTAGATTTGGGTATGTTTGGTGGGACATAGCTATCAAACCACTGAACTGTGGTTTGACATGTACTTTTCCTTTAAGCTTCCTATCAAAATAGCATAAATGATTTATTTTCCCTATTAAAGGATACAACATAAAAACTCTTGAGACACTAAGACCAGAAGAAGCAAAAGTTGCCTGGCTGCCTCTAAGACTGTGCTCCAATCAGGGTCACATAGCTGTACACTGGTGGACAGGGAGAAAACTACGATACGGTACAGAACTTCAGCTCTTCCGAAGTCCAGACTCACTGGATTATTAAGACGCGAGGACTACCGGAGACTATACCAAGATGTTCCATCAATCTTGAACCAAAGCTATCCCGAGGATACTTTTAGGTGAGATTCAAATAAAGAACATGACTGCTAGTGCCATGCCCTTTTAAAGATCCATCTGTCTGAGATCACAGGAACAATTCCTCTGAAGCCCCACTTAAAGATGAGGGGGCTGGGAATAAGACCACTGAAAGCACGACTCTAGGAGAATTTCCTGAAACTACTGAAATACTGTAGAAAACTGGCTGATGTCTCTGAACAATATGGGTTAAAACCTAACCTGCTATGAAAACACAATTAGGGTTTTTTTAGGTCTTTTTTAAAAGGAAGAAAATAGAAAAACATTTTCTGTGTGTGCCCAGCAACCAAAGGGAAAGCACTTTACTGAGGAATCATCAAAAGCAATGTCCGCAGTCTTTTTCTCATGTTCAGAAACCATCTGACATCTCTGTATAATCACTGGTTACTTGAATGAATGCTTTTTTCCTCTCCTGGGTTTGCTGTTATTCTTTGTTTAACCATGTTTCTAGAGTCTATAGAGTATGTTTATACCACACGAGATAAACAAATAACCAAATTGTTAAATGGGCAAGGATTTGAACAGATATCTCTCCAAAGAAGACATTCAAGTACCATATATGCTCGTGTATAACCTGAGTTTGTTCAGCACATTTTTAATGCAGTTTTTGTGGTAAAATCAGGTGTCCCGGCTGATATTCGGGTCGGCTTATACTTAAGTATATACAGTAAGTAATTAGCCAATAAATATAAGCTCAGTGTGAATGAATGAGTGAGTGAATGAATGAATAAGTGCGTAAGCAAGCTCAACATCATCGGCCATCAGAGAAATGCCGATCAAACCACTTCAGACCTACTAGGATGACTACGCGCAAGCACAGATTACAAGGAGTTGCTGAGAAGGTGTAGAACGTGGAAACCTCAAACTTTACTGGTAGAAATGCAGAAAGATAATAGCAATTCTACCCCTCAGCATATACCCAAGGGAAATGGAAGCACGTATCCATGTAAAAACTTGTATGCAAGAACTATAGCAGGATTACTCACAATAGCCACAAAGTAGAAGCAATCCCAAACATTTAACAAGTGATGAACAGATGAATAAAATGTGGTATTTTCCATAATGGAATATTATTCATCTATAAAAGGAATGATGAAGCAATACATGCAACACACTAAGTGAATGAGTGCCGAAGGACCACATACTATATTACCCCATTGGAAGCAGTGCGAGAGGAGGGGGAAATACATACGAAATACCCACAACAGTCAAATCCATAGCAGCAGAAATATTCATATTGGTTTCTGGCGAGCATAAAGAGACACTGAAAAATGACTGCTAATAGATCTGAGGTGCTAAAAATCATCTAAGATTGAATAGTGGTAATAGCTGAACAAGTCTATGAAAATATTAAAAATCAATGAATAATAAAGTAAGCATTTTGTCATGTTTTAACAAAAAGTTAAATATTTCAGATACACAAAGGGTTTCAAAAAGTTCACAGAAAATCGGAATTAAAAGATCATGGGATTTTTCCATGAACTATTTTAAAGCTCCCTCATATAAATTTAGTGGTTCAAGGAATGCTTTTTACCAAAACATATGAAGCCAGGATTACATAATCTGAGTGCCTTTTTCAATTATGCTGTTTTCAATGTGGACTCATTTCCACAGATGCATTAACTCTATCTCAATTACCATCTTATAAAGGTCTACTTGACAGAACTGATGATCAAAGACACTAATTTATCAAACAATTATTTAAGACTTGTAATGAATCTGTTACTGTAAAAGCGGTTTATATATAACAGTGACAAATCTAAATTGTTCCGTGATTTTTAAAACTGTTATTTTAACTGTTACTTTAATCAAGTAAATTACTCATGGTATATAATTTGGCACAAAATGTTTCATTTTCGCTGCATGTCACGATCTCTACTGTCTGGCTACAATAAAGAAAAGGTGTGGGGGGTGGGGAGGGTAGAAGAAAGCATGTGAGGCTCCACCTCAGGAAACCATCAGAGTTCCGTATGGCACCGAGTCGGTCCTGACTCATACCGATCCTTCTAGACTGGGTTCCTAACTGTGTAAATCTTTACAGGAGCTGACAGCCTCGTCTCTCTCCCAGAAACACTAGCTGGGAGCTTTAAAAGTAGACCGCCATCCAAGTCGCCGAAGATTTAATCTCAAACTCCCTTCTACAAGCCAAGTATGGATCTGATGCCCAGCCTTACTTACTCAAGACACTTGTGCAAAAATGTTTGCAGAACTAAATATTCGTGTGGTAGTCACATAATCTGTTGTTAATGTTAGACTTACGAGTGAAGGGGTGGAGTTCACCTGTCAATCAGGTTGCAGCTTGATGATCACCTCATTTGGAGAGACTAAGGAGATAAATAGCTCGCTGGAGGCAGGATACTCGTTCACTCCCTGGGAGACCTTGCAGCTGACAAGACACATGGAGCTATACTCTGCCCTGAGTTGGAGCCACATGGAGATACCCCTTACCAACGCTGAGTTGCTTCCACCACCACTGGATCCACAAGACTTCCCAACCACTGGCCTGGGATCTTCCTGCATCGGCATCACTGCATGTGTTCCGTGAGTCTCAAGACTTTATTTATAGATTGGTATTGGACATATGGGCTAATAGCAGACTTATGGACTTCATTTGGACTGGGCTAGGATGTTTTCTCAATATTCAATTGCTCTTGTTTATAAAGCTCTTTCTTATAGACATATGAGTGTCTATGAATGTTTCTCTAGCCTACCCAGACAACACAATTAGCATGAATTTTTCTTCATAGAATGTGTGGATTCTATGGGATATAATGGAGAGGCAAAAAAAAGAGGATAATTTCTTATACCACAGTCAAGAAGCTCAATTAAGAGCCTCAATATTGTTTACCATTATAGATAGCATATAGACTGTGGTAAATTTTTCAAAATTTGTATTGTTGGAAGGCTTTTTTTTAATAGTATGATTAATACAACATAAGCTTCTAACTAATTTTAATAGGTATAATATCTTTCCAACTGATGGAATGATTTAGTACATCCCAAATATGCAAACCATGAGAGGGGATGGGCAGAGTAATTGTGTACTGTCATCAATTCCATTCTTTTCTTTTTAATTGCAAGTTTAATCACCCTTCCATACAACAATCTCAGTAAGCGACATGTCATGTCAATGCCGAAATAACATTTGGAAACATTAAATAGGCATATGGAATCAAATCTTATTAGATGTAAACGCAATGTTACTATGTAAAGATAGCGTAAGACTTTTAGTACACAAAACCAACTCATATGAATAATTAGTATTAAAAATAAATAAATTCAGGAAAGTTAGTAGGCTTACCTGAACCACCCAGGGACTGTTGGCAAAGGCCATAATATCTCTTTCTTCCCAGAAAAAAGCAGAATCTGACCTTTTGATCATTTCAAACTTACTAAGAAGCTTCATAGCATACACTTTCTGTGATGCCTTATGCCGAACCTGTTGGTTTTTAAAAGGCAAATATTAATATTAATGCTTTTATGAGCAAAAGGAAAATAACTGGTATTTTAATGTTAAATTTTATTTAGCTAATTGACAAAAATTAAAAGCATGTTTTGAAGAAATATAGGTAAAGTTTTCCAACAGCCTAAATATTTCATGAGATGCACAATACCTTTAAATGTTAGGTTCCGTATACAATTACCTCATTTCATCTAAATAAAACTGAATTCATGAAAGTTTTGTTCTCTCATGTAATTCAGCTAATCGATGTTAACAATAAGACATTGTTAAGTGCGAAACTTAGGAATATGTAATCACTCAGGAAAAAACAACCTTGAAACATCAATGTACATGTATCCCTCATTTGGGGTCAGAACACAATGAATTCAGGCATCAAGGGGACTTGCCCAAGAAAGTCAGACATCAAGGGGTACTTGTGATGTTTGTTAAGTTATCTTTACGTTTTCTAGATATCTTTTTGTCCAGGGAAAATCAAATATCAGTAACATGGCTAATTTGATAAATCCCTAACTTTTTACAGGCATTCTAGTGGCATAAGGGCTTGTTTATGCATGAAACTGCTAACCACAAGGTCAGCAGTTCAAATTCACCAGCTACAGTGTAAGATGGGGTTTCCTGAACCTCTAAAAATGTTCAGCTTCAGAAACCTCAGGGAGCGGTTCTCCTCTATTCCACAGAGCTGGGTGATGCACTGAGTTATTGAACACAGTCATAGCCTTTGTCACTCCCTTCAAACCACCTCTCTCCTAACAGGTCTGGGTAGGAAAGTGGGGGAGAGAGACTACTGGGATGATAGGATTCAGCTGTGTGCTCCTTGCGCACAGGATTAACTGTGCCATGCTGCTGGGCATACAATGAGCTACCTCAGAATCAGGAAAGGTAGATTTCACTACTGGCAAGACAAGAGCCAGGAGTGCAGTGTGCCGTTTGGACCTCGAGAGCCCTCCTGGATCTGGGGGACAGATTTGAAACCAGAGGAGCGGCAACAGAACTGGGAGCCAAAGCATGAGGCAGAGGAGTGAATTTCCCAGCCCGTGTAGCAAGAGAAGCTAAGGGCTTTGTTGGCAGGAGGCTGGCTTGTGGAGTGGGGTACCTCTGGGCACTTAATTGAGGGAGCTGAATTTGATGACCCACAGAACAGAAGTTGAGTACCTTCAGGCTGACACTAACGATGGAGTCTGTGTACTTGTTGGGTATTTACTGACAGTCCTAAGGCTTTGTAACAGAGGCTGAGGTGCAGAATGAGGCCTGCTACTGCCCTGACGGAATAACTGTGGCTCCAACATGCCTGACCTTCATTGTTAACTTCTCTAACATACTCATTCATCAGGAGTATCACCTGTGCATGCTGTGCGACCTTGGTAGGGAATGAGAGCTGTGAGGGTGACAGCTGGGGTCAGAAATGGTAGGAGGTTGGAGGTTGGGGCATACTTGACCTTGTCTTTTCGACAATCAGCCCTGGGAGCCCTGTAGCCCCAGGCCATGATGAGTTTTGTTTGTTTTTAACGCCATGTTTGTACTACTTGGCATCAGGAGTGAGTGAGGCACAAGGGCTTCAGATTCATAGAAGCGTGGGGTTTAGTAGAGAAAGGAGGAAGCAGCATGAAATGAAAAACTTTCCATCTTTATATGGCAACTTTGGTTCTTGTTACCTGTAAAGGCTGAAAAGTATGTAATAAGAGGCAGCTGAGTGGAGGCAGGCTGTTTCCGGAGCGGCCTGGGGCAAAGGCTCTTCTAGTTAAGCAAGATGACTGAGGAGAGGCCCGCCTACGAGAAGCTCAAGGCCATATGCACACAGTTGGAGGCCAGAGTGGGGAAGATTACATTTCAATATTATTAAAAGGGTTAAGGGTTGTGTGTTTATCTGACAGCACTATGGATAATGAATGTTTCTCCTATCCAATACTATAAAATAAGGCTACATGCATGATGGAAATCAATATAATTAAAGAGAGTTTATAGCCCAACTCTGATATAATTGACTGGATACACCAAAGGGGGGAGTTGGGAATTGCCTGGAAGTAGAGTAGGAGGCGTCCAGGGAACCTTGAGCCCCACTCCGCACTGTTGAGAGAACAAGAGACTGAGAAGGGCAGATCTGCAGAGAGCAAAGGCCGGCTCTGGAAAACCGTCACATTACTGAGGGTGGCAGACAGACCATGGGTTATCTTACTTCCTGGCCACAAGCACAGGCTTGTACAAGAGTGAGTCATATCCACCTCCCCAATTCAAATCTTGACTTTCCCCCCCCTTGTTCCTATCCCAGAACATCTCTTGATTCCTCTTAAACCCCAAACCTTTCCTCAGGATCTTTATCAGTTCTATTGGGGGGGGGGGGGGGACCAAACCTCACTGCCATCCATTTGATTCTAACTCATAGTGATCCTCGAGGCTAGAGTGGAACTGCTCCTGTGGGTTTCTGAGACAATAAAACCTTCCAGAAGAAAGCATCGTTTTTCTCCACAGACGGCCAGGGGAGTGGTATAGAGCTGTCAGCTGCAATCAGCAGCCCAACATGTAAACCTATCACAGTCCCTAGTTTTATGTTCCCCCAAAGTGACCAGGCTACTGACCCACTCAGTTGAAACAGAAACTCCTCAAAGAGGCTTTCTCTGACCACCGACCCCAAGGAGGGACTACTCATTGTCCTTCATTCCCGGGGCTCCTTTACTTTCTTCCTATCCGACACCATCATCAATAAGCTCTGGCTGTCTGTTTCTATTGCCTGTCTCCTACATTACAATGTACGGTAAGGCTTAACTCTGCAAGCACAGTGCAACAGAACAGTCAAACCTTGATACTTTGAATGAATGAATGTCTCAGAATAAATATTCTTTACTTGGTAACTGGACAAACTCTGAATTTCCAGCTGAAAGAAAAATTCAAGAGGTAATAGTTCAAGTTTATCTTTGGTCAAGTACTTTACATGCCTAGCACCAATACTTAAATGAATGAATATAAGGTAAACTACAGGGATGTTCATGCCTTCTGATGATACGCATGTGATGCTTTCTGCTCCCGTAAAGAATTACGGTCTCGGCAACCCACAGGGGCAGTCAGTCCTACATTTTCCTAAATGGTTGCTATGCATTGGAATTGACTCAAAGGCAGTGCGTTTGCTATGATTCTGAACTAGGGACGTTAACAGGTTAATACAAGTCAGGACAGTAAAAGGAAGAGTAAAGTCACTGGTCCACAGCAAGACCTGCTCTCGTCAGCCAGCAGTCAAGCCCCTTCCAGACCCCAGCCTTGTGGTCCGTTGGTTCCCGTTTCTGTGCACCGGGAAGCCTGCCTAGCACTCTGCCTCACAGACCCATCCATTACCTTGGGGCTGGCTCCTCTGTGGTGTCGCATGATTTCCTTGCCTCAGGCTCTGGTCTCAGCCTGGCTCCTTTGCACTGTCCCACTGTCTAATGCCACAGTCTGGTGGCTCTAGGCTCAACCACCACCACTTCAAGCAGAGGTCCTGAACGTGCTCTTGCGGTGGCCCTGGCATCTCCCTCTGTGCCAGATATGACTCTGACACACAGGAGTGGCTTTGATGGAGGGGTGGGTTTGGTCTTGAGGCAGACCACACCACCAAGGTAACTTGGTTCATTCATCCCCTCTACTAAAGTTAATCACAGCAGAGAACTCTCATGATAAAATGAGATTATAGCTACAGGTTTACATTACAGAATTATAATACATCACATAAGGAATTATGTAAAGGGCCACACTGAGACACCAAAAAATGGGGGATTAAAATATTATAATACTATCATAATACTATTGTTCAGCAGTAAGTAAGGAGTAACAGGGAAAGTAAGCAGTAGAAAGGAGGGCAATATTAACTTTTAAAAGACTGGTAAGGGGGCATATTGCTAGCCCTAGAGTAATCACTAGAAAATAATCAAAAGAGATAAAGCTAAGAAGCCGAATGATTAAATAAAATGCAATATTAAAAAATACTCAATTCTAAAATGAGACATGCAGAAAAATCATATGCATAATTATAGACTTAAACACAACCATATTGGTCACAAGGAGCCCTTGTAGCATAGTGGTTATATGCTGGGCCGTCTTCCCAAAAGTTAGCAATTCAAAACCGCCAGCCGCTCAATGGGAGAAAGACAGAGCTTTCTACTTCCGTAAATAGTTACAGTCTCAGAAACTCAGAGGGGAAGTTCTACCCTTCCCTACAGGGTGGGTTACTGTGAGTCAGAATTGGCCCACAAGCAGTGAGCTTAGTTTTGGATATTAGTCATATTACATATAAATAGGCTAAACACTATTAATAAGCAGAAATTATCAGACAGGAATACAAAGGAAACACCAGTTTTATACTGCTTAAATATAAGACACAAATAGGCTGGAAATTAAAAGATGGAAAAGATATACCAGGCAAACAGCAATATAAGAAGGGTACCTCAGCAGTATTAATAGATAAGGTCAACAAAAGTATTACAAGAGATAAAGAGAATATTTTTAAAGACAAGCAAAAATTAGAACTAAAGAATCAGACAAATCTGAAATTTCCATTAGAAATTTGACACCTCTCTCAGTACTTGGTAGAACAAGCACAGAATAAAAAAAATAATAATCCAGTCTAAAAAGCAAACTGCATACCCAAATCATAATTACAAAAGTAATTCATAGGTTAAGTCACTTCTCGTGTTAACATGTGTTACAATTTCACATACACTGGTACAGTGTGAAGCTCACAGGTAAAAGATTGTGATGAAGGTCCTCAATTATACCCATCTTCCAAATTGAACTTCTACACTCTAGAGACAATCCTTCTGATATGTGCACTGCGGTGACTTTTATAGAACGTGAACAATAAATACATAGGGAAGCAATATGAAAACTCAAGTGGGGGGCCAAAGCGGAAGAATGATTCTAGTCCTTAAACAAGAAATTCCTCCTTCAACGGCGAGACCAGCATTTAATAGACTGGTGTTTGATTGTTCTACCTCATTCTAGTAATGCTGTTT